AATGCCATTTTCATATCTCCAATCTGCAAATTCACGTTGGGAAAAAATAAAAAAAGAGAACCCATTTCTTGTTCTATCTTTTCAAGTATATACATCCCAAAAATGAACAAGGACAGAGTAAAGAGAAACATTTTTCTCGCATGCAACCAAAATTTAACCATTAAAAGAAAACATGCATGGTGCAAAGATAAAGTGAAATATACTAGTGAAAGAAAAAGAAAAGGTAAAGAAAGTAGGGAAACAAGAAAGCAAAAACCTTCATTGCCGTTGGAAGAGTGACGAAAAGGATCAGCAACACAAAGAGAGCCATCAGAACGCAAAGGCATGACAGAAGAGAAACCTCCATGATCTTCTCTGCCAAAGCTTCCATCGATTCTAAGGTGTGGAGTCAGAGAAAACCCCAGCCAATTACTCATGATGATGATGATGATATGATGATGATGATGATGATGATGGTATCAACACAATATATTACTCTTTTTTCACACCCTTCTCTAGAAAAAACAACACACAAAAAATAGAGAGACAGAAAGAGAGAAGAGTTCTCCCACTCTCTCTTTCTCTTCCTATTTCTCTTCTGTCTCTATAAAAATATTGTAAGTAATGTTTCTCTCTTCTCTTTCATTGTGACTTTGGGTAGTAGTAGTATTTGGAATTTAAAGAGCTCAAACTTCAAAAACAAAGAAAATTTTCTTCACACAAACAAAGCCCTTCTCGCGTCTTATATTCTCAGCACTGTATCTGCATCTGTTTTGCTAATGGTAGCGTTGGGTTTCGTGCCTCTCTTTCATTTCCTTCTCAGATTTTGCAGAGTAGGCCATCACATAAACGTATCATTATTTATGATGACATAAAAAAAAAAAAAAAAAAGAAAAGAAATTGGGATATATATGGCATGACCAAAGCTTTAGAGCTCCAATTTGCTACAACGATGATCCACGGATTCTTAAATTTTTGACACCGATGTTTCACTGAAAATGAAATTGGACTTTGATGGACTGTCAGGATTTTCGGATAGCCCTGATCCAGGGGAAATTTGAAAAGCAGCAAATCTCTGCTAAAAAATGGTTTTAGAGCTTTCATCAAACAATTGGTCCACGTAAAGCCGGTGGAATGGCCTACGTTAAAACGCAATAATAAATTTGATGTCCAAGTTGGGTTGGGTTCAATCTAACAGGCCTAAAACTTTGGAATCTATGTCCAGGAGATCTTATGGACAAAAATATATGGGCTGTGCTTCTATAACCTTGACGGTGGCAATGGATTTGACAAAAAGGTTAAAATGGAAAAATAAAAAAGCTTTGCTCTAAACAAATATAAACTACACTAGTCGACAAGAAATAGATAAAGGGACATTGAAAGAGGATAATGTTGTTGGAATGAGATTGAAAATGCACTTCAATTTCTGCAGAAACTATATGGGAATTATATATTTTGACCTTTACTAATTTGCAAATGTCATGTAAAAGAAATTATTAAATAATAATTTCATTAAGTTAAAAATTTATATGCTTCCTGTACCCAAGTTTTTTTTTTTTAAATAATTTCAACTAAAATTTTATTAGTAAAAATTTTTATAAGAAAAAATTCTTAACAAATTTATAGTTGGGCTTTCTCGTGCATTGACCAGCCCAATTTATAACTGAAGCCCTTTCAATACTTGAAACCAATTAGCCCAACATTACAATCGTAAAACATTTGACATGATTCTTGCTTAGGGGAAACATCATTGCAAAAAGGACAAAGGTTGCATCCTTAATTTTTTTTTTCTCTATTTAAAAAAGGATAAATGTTTTACGATTGCAATTTTGGGCTTTTAAACAAAATCGAGAAAAACATAAGGGTAATGTCTTAGGCTTCATTTGGTTGATATTTTTATTTTTATTATATTTTATTTTTTTTCACTTTAATAAAAATGTAAAAGACAAAAAAAACCGACCAAAAGATACCTTAGCATATGCCATAATTATTTTGAAGGATAGTTTATATTATAATAACTATTTGCACTAGATGTTGAGTTCAAAATTTATTGAAACAGGACAAACAAGTTTAATTGCCAACAATATTCATGGTAAAAATACAAAAAAAAAAGGTGAAAATCCAATGGAGATGGTAGTTTTCCAACAGAGACCTCATTAATTTAGTAGCAAGGTTGATTTAATTTAACTTACCAAATAGACTAATTACTAGAATAATAATATACATAATTATAAAATCATTGGCTATATAATTTATTGCAACATGGCATTAATGGTTGAGATTAATTAATTTAATTCAAGCTACTATAGAGTTTCCTAATCCATGATTCTCCTGAAAAGTAGCTTCTATGATTTCAATGTGCTCCTTTGTCCTTTAGGGTTTGACAATTAATGCATTAATGAACATGTCCCCAATTTATTCTTTTTTTTTGTATTTTTTTCTTAAAATCAATTTGCCATTCTATATATTGTACTATATTTGTATGTTTGTTGAGATTTTTTCTGTATCTAGGTTACACAATTAAATTTCAAAGTTGGAATTTAAAATTCTTTTAGAGATGATGTATAATTTTCTATAGTTTTATGAAATATTCTCATTATATATTTATTTCCTATTCCTGCTTTATAGCGTGGTCAAACCACAAGACACACTCTCCCCCTCTATTGCTTCAAAATTTTGAATTAATTTTGTGATTAATAAATTGGGTTAGTTGAAAATGAAAGGTTTAAAATAATGTTGTAGGTGAATTATTTAGTTATGTGACATAATTGATTTATATTATTTATATATGTAATATATGATTAATTTGATCAAATCCCTTTTAAGTGCTTAGAATTTAATAATGACTATGGAATTGATCAGAGGAAGACTGCGTATTTTATAGTTTTATGTTATCATCAATCTCGTGATTCATACATTTGTTGTAAAAAAGAATTTCAGAAATGAAAGAGACAATTAACATTTTAAGAGCAGTGTGATCATCCCAATGGGTGACACAGCTTTGAGAAAAATAATAAAAAAAAGAACAAGTTTCTATACCACATCTGCATTGTGATGTGTGATGTGGTTGAAATCTTTTACTTTTCCTTCCAAATCCAGGCTTCCAACAGCAGCATCTGAAGCGGCCCAATTCCCATTGGTTTGGAGGGCATAATCTCGAAAAAAAAAATGCATGTTTTCTTGCGTTAGATTAGGAGTCAAAAATCTAAAAATGCATACAATTACATTAACAAAAGAAATTAATTAAAGCTGGCATCTTTGTTTGGATGAATGCAGACTGTATAGTTTTTGTTCGGTAGTTAATCCATCTTTTGATCAAACTTAAATAAATTATATACGAAAAGCTCTTCCCCCTACACATTGCATGTGATCTTTCTCTCTTTCAGTGTTAAAAGAAACTGGCATCGATATATATTATATGTTGATGCATGTGACAAAGATTAATATGGAATATTAGAATTGAATGATTCCAAATCATTTACAACTACTTAATAGTTTAGTCTTCCATCCTGTGAATCGAGGAAGAGAATACATATCCCTGGAAATCTGCAGAATGAATGAATCCAATTCACGAATTAGAAGATCCAGCTGCATGCCACAAGTTTCCAAACTATTAGCTATCCTAGGCTAAAAGATCAGATATGCTATCCGTGTAATTAAACTTTAGTCTATCACACAACCATAATCTTAATTTGGTCCAACAAAAGTTATATTAATTCATTATTATTATTATTATTTCATTTCACCTAACCCTTAAAATAAAACCAAATCCTAACCTAACTCCACCATGATTAAGCCTTTATTTTCTTTTTTAATTTAATGAAGTAAAAAGCATGCGTATTTTGAGTAGAATATATATAGAACAAACAGAATGATGCTGAATTTGTAATTTGCTAATGTAATGAATATCAACATAGTTGCATGCTTATGATATATCATTCAAGTAAATACCAAAGTTAATTATAGCCAAAACATTCTCAATAAAAATTAGAATACTTTTAGTGTGGTTGCTGCCTTCCTGCTATGTGCTGATGCTTTTCGTATGTATCTCAAAGATCAAACTAAGTTAATTAACTTGGAAGACATAAAGATGTCAACTTAGGATAAGATACCATAAATTCATAAATTTTAGAATACATTCGAAACTTTGCCATACATGACGAATTCAATTATACTGTTAGATTTAACAGCCGATTTATTAAAATGTTAATCATACATGAAATTATAAAATATCGGATATAATGAAAAAGTTTAGCAACTTACTAGCTACCAGGTGGATTAATTATTTTGAAATGGTAGTCATATGGGTCTAGAAGTATATTCAAGACAGAGACTTCAAAGTTCAAACCTTTGCTGAAAAAAAAAAAAGAAAAATAGTAAAACAAAATAAAATAAAGGTGCCTTAGCAAAGTCTAACAATTAATCCGTCAGAGTTATTCTGAATCTAACTATTAACCAGTCACAATTATTCTTTATGCACCCACTTTGATTCAGATTTAGTTTTTCTTTTAAATGGCTCTGAAAAGTATATACATCCTTGAAAGACGAAGCTACACTCACTTATTAATATATTATTAACCAATAATTGTATTCATCTCCTTGTCTGCTTCTCTATCCATAGGTTTACCCTTTTGTTATTTGACCCTTTTAGCTTAAAGCTTCATGCTTTCAATATACTATAATGTTTAGCACATGCTAAAAGGAGAGAAAAAAAAAACCCAAAGAGAAATTACTTTCAGATGCAACAATTAGTCTTCCATTTGGAACTACATGCCAAACCTGCTTATTAACATGGGGAATTTTTATTACTATTCCATAGCCATATAATTTCTACCCAATGCTATTTTTTTCCTTCCTCTTTTCCAAAAAGCAGTGACAGGCGCACTATGAATATTTAAGTACATAATTATGATATAAATACATTAATCTTTCTTTTTTTTTTTTCTTAAAAGATGGGCTTGAAGCTAGCAGCAAACAGCAGCCAGCAGCCTTTGTCATAATCTGCAGCTTTGTACAAACTTTACAGAATTCTCATTACTCAATCATCAAATCTATCATGGCTGTCCTTTTTTATGATGTCTGCAGCTGCCAAATTCAATGGTCTCAATACTTATATCTTTTACATATATAAATACATATCTATGTACTTGAGTGGTAGTTGAGGTTCTTCTCCAACACCAAGAAGGGTAGATAACACAGTGAACCCGAACCGGCCAATCCATCGAAAAAACAACACTCTCACTAGAAAAGTAACATACGTCTCTCACACCTCATCCAGCCTCTCTCTCCCTTTCATTTATAGCCATTCCTCGAACAAACGCAAAAGGAAAAAAAGGTTTAATAATGGCTCCTTTGAAAGAAGAGACCATTAAAATGGAAGAAAATGTATCCCGTAAGAGAGAAGTCAACAAGGGAGCGTGGACAGCTGAAGAAGATAGAAAATTGGCTGAGGTTATTGCAGTTCATGGTGCTAAAAGGTGGAAGACAGTTGCAATCAAAGCAGGTAACCAAGTAATTGGTCAGATAGCCTATACCTTGGTTGAATTGAAGCCCATTTGATTGGGGGTTTGCTGATTTTTTTCCTTTTTTTATTGTAGGTTTAAATAGGTGCGGTAAAAGTTGCAGGCTGAGATGGATGAATTATCTGAGGCCTAACATTAAGAGGGGAAATATATCAGACCAAGAAGAGGATTTGATACTTAGGCTTCATAAACTCCTTGGAAACAGGTTAATTCAGAATTCTAAATATGAATTTGGATTTGCGATATGTATATATCTATCTTCCAAGTTGGAGTTAATGATTGAAAAGCTTTATCTATCTGATGGTTTTCCCTCAGATGGTCTTTGATTGCTGGAAGATTACCAGGAAGAACAGATAACGAGATCAAGAACTACTGGAATTCTCATTTGAGCAAGAAAATAAACCAGAAAGAGAAACAAAGTGGAGCTGCAGCTAGACAAGGCTGCAAAGCTCAAAAGAGACAAGTGGAGAATGCCAAAGAAGAAGTGAGAGAAGAGAATACATCTACTGGAGGTGAGGACTCAAATATCAGCTTCGATGTGGATGAGTTCTTAAATTTCTCAAATGAGGATCCCCTGAACTTGGACTGGATGAACAGATTTTTTGAAGTTGATGAGGTTTTTAATTGAAACTTTATGAAAGTGCAAGCATTTGTTTCTATCTCCATGATCATGAATTTGATGCCATCCATGTTAAATCTGTAAAACTTAGTTATCTGTTCATGAATTCGGCAGGATTAATGTTTTGTGTCAGCTCTCCTAGTTACTGTAATGGTAAGCTGCAGCACAACTCTTTTGATTGGTCCTAATCACTTAGTAAAGGAAATATCCTTCAGTGTTTTTTTTTTTTTTTTCGAAAGGTCATTAGACCAAAAGGTAAAACAAAATAGGAGAAAACAGACAAGAAAATTAGAAAAGGAAGAGAACTGGAAAGAGATTAACAAGGCAATTGAGGGAGACACAGGAAAGCGATTATATACTGTAGTTTTTGGACTATAGTTCTCAAACGGTATACAGAATCTTTCTATTATGATAAAAGTGGTTGAAAAGATAGCAAAAGAGTGATAAAAATGTGAAAAAGTCTGTTTGAAATACTGTGGACTCAATAATTTATCAGATTAGTCTGATGAGACAAAAGGCTTCATGTCAGTTAAAAACATGTACCCGTAGTCCTACAAGCCAATAGTAACAGCAATGACACTTTTGCCGGAAAAAAAGAGGTCTTCTTTCATCTCAAAATAACATTCATATTTCATACGTTAGCAAACAAAAGAACTTTGGTTGTGACCATGACTGAATCCATTTATCAGTCATTCAGCTGAGCCAATGCGACGACCGATCGCCAGGGCAAAGCCATATCTGGACACACGCTACTGCAACTCATCCAAGTGAACTTCTTTGCATCAAACTTTCTTTTGTAAGATCGAAGATGATAGAGATTGTATTGTACATTAATACTTGGCATCAATTCCTGTTGCTTTAACCTGGCAAAGTTTCCATATCTCCCCTCCCCCTTTTCGAAGATGGCCTTAGGCCTGATTTGGATTCAATCGTGCCTATTGTTTGTTGCGATAAAGCATCTTTTTTGTGTATATACGCTAAAGTTTTTCGTTTGGGTAACGAAGTTACGGCACGATTGTGCCGACATGGAAGGGTCGATTGTCCACTGCTGAGGAGGGGGTTTGGTGAGCTACCACACCTTCCTTTGGACTTTTTTATGCTTCTAATATCCTTTTATTACCATTTGACCTTTATATTAAGAAGTTTAAAATTAAAGGCTGAGAACCCATATACTCACGGAGTTAATTGAATTGGAATGTGAAACACTTGAACTTTATTTATATAGTAAATAAAAAAATTAAGAATTCAATATATATATATATATATATATTAAAAATTCATTTGATAAATTACTATTATTTTTATTAATTTTTAATTATTTATTAAAAATTTGTTATTTAAAATAAAAATAATTTTAATATTTTTAAATCATTTTCATAAATATCAAATAATTAAAATTTTTTATCACATATAAATTTTAATTTAATGTTTTTAATTGCCATTTTATTTTTTATTGCAATTTTTTTTACAATTATTGTTTCATTTGCATTCAAATATATATTTATATAATTAATTTTAATTTTATCGTTACAATAATTAATGTTATCGTTGTAGTAACTAATTTAATTTTCACGTTTATTTTTAATATCATCCAAATTAATTTCTTAAATCATTTAAATAAAACCTTGTTGTCTGGAGACCTAAACCGCTCGCTTTGGGTAGAGTGCTCAAACTTAAGAGTGCACAAATGGGACATAGTTTTCTCCTTAAAAACCTGTCCCCATCCCAATCTACTGAAAACTACCCATTCATCCTAGGAACAAATTTAACTGATATATGTACCATTGGAACTCATGGACTTTTTCGCCTTGTCTCTTTTCGAGTCCTACTTTGATGTAATGTGAATTCAGATTCCATTCTAGCACCAAAAATCAACGAAAGCATTGTCAAAAAACAAAATGTTGCCAAAGTCCACTTATGAACAAGATAATTATTCAGCACACGGAAGACATCAGCAAGGACAAAGGATATCTAATCTGACATATACTTGTAAGAATATATGTCTGGAGCTGAATTTTATTAGTAAGGACTTCAATCATGTAGGTTTTGATTTATTTAGTTTAATGCCATTTCGTCTATCTGGGTACGGAACTCCCCCATGCTCGTTGTTTAATAGTGGATCCCGCCTATCTGATCTTAGTAAAGAATCATGATTTAAGATTACCTCAATTTAGTTTCAAAACTATTGCCAGCAGAGTGTCCGAACTCTACTTTTCCTGTGAAATTTTCGTCTCACGTCACTTTCTCGATCTATTATAGACTGTTTACTACAGAAGGTATTTAGCTTGAAGAAGCATTATTGCAAAATCCATGACCGCTCAAACAATATCCCTTCGCCATTTACTTCCATACTACGAGAATGAATAACAAAAGAGTCCAGGCTTTGGTGGCTCCCGCCTGATAAAAAACCATCATCTACTGTTTTAGTATGGCATCTTTGAACTATGAAGTCATTAGCCATAATGGGTACAATAACCGTACACATTGGAAGGTCATTCGACAAAGTTTCTGACGCATGGCAAACATTTGATAAAGTTATAATGGCAAGCACTAAAGAGTGATAATTTCTGAAGGGAGTGAAGGTAGGCAGCATGATTCCTAAGGATAATTTGTCTTGAAAGAGTGTATTTGACAATTGCTGCCAATCAACAGAGCAAAAAAAAAAAAATACAGAACGTACTTGAAGCATGTGAACCAAGGGAGGCTTTCAAATTTTGAATTATAAACAAGTAGGAATGTACAAGATGCATAACGCCAAAATCTATAGCTTGAACATGTTAATGAAATCAGCAACAAAGAAAAGAAAAACAAAATGATAGACGCACATTAACTGCTGTTCCAATCAATGTCTCCATCAGAATCCTCAGAATACCACCAATAATATTTCCTTGCTGCCTCGAAGTAAGAAGTTAGTTTCTGTTACAGAAACACCATTATTTCAGAGATAAAGGAAAAGAAAAAAAAAGAAATATTAAAGAGGATGGCTCTACAAGGACTATTCACAATGGAGAATTGTAGGAAACAAAGGAGCTGGTGTTATTACTTGAAAGTTCTATCTCAGACTCTTGGTATATCCATCATCGAGATTCAAGAGTTAGCCCCATGCCATAGAACAGGCATAATTAACCACCAGTTTACCATCAAAACCAAAATTCTGCAATGCAAAGGCAGCACCAGTTAGACTGACAAGGCCAGCTAAGCAATAAAATTTTCTAGGTATCTTCATGTGTATTTTGAACTCTATTAAGAGACAAAGCAAGTTATTAGTTAATACTATATGCTATGACCGAGTTGATTCCATAAAATTGAAAGTACAGTGATCTTTGTGATTATCATTATATAAAACGAATAAATGTTCTGTATCTAACAATGACACATTTGCATAAAAAAACAAGTAAATTTCTACGCTAAATATCTTTGTTGTTTCCTATTCTGGTTTGTGTTTTAGTACAATCGTCTAGTCATGAATGAAGATACACCATGTCAATTCCACAATATAGAATCTATGGATATTCCCAAAAGTGTAATTCACAGAACTAACGCCAGCAAGAGAAAGTGTGCAAGTATATTGACTTACATTATACAGGTCAATCACCAATTCATCTGGGTTTGGAGAGAAAGCACTGTTGACATACACAAACTACAAAACAAGGGACAAGAAATTAATACCACCCAAACAAAAAGATTGAAATTAATTTTTCAAAACTACCATATATAAAAATAGATTACCAGTGTATCCCGGTGCAGTTGCCTCCGTAAAAAATCAATTACTTTAGCAAATTTGTCAGATCCAAGTATCTGTCACGTCAAAAGGTTTTTAAAAAAGGATAGATACATTTCAATTCATTTAATAACAACCATTACATGAAAGAAGTGTTTGAATGAAAAATCCAGGTTTCAAAAGTGCATAGTTTATCTATATTATTACTTCACATGAAAACCCTGAAATATTAGACTAAGTAAGTCAAGAACATGATTTAAGGAATCGCTTCACACTGAAGCACAAAACTCCAATTGCAATATCAACTAAAATCCTACATCGTGTTTGTGTGCAAACTAAAGCTTCTAGTTACAAGTCCATACCAAGTGCGCAATCAAAAACATGCTCATTGGTTTACAAGTGCTTTACATAATGCAAAGCCAAGTCTTAGATTCGAGCCCCACAGTAGATATATTTAACATCATACGATTTCATTATAAAAAATTAACTCCAAGAAGCACGTCTAAGAATGTATGAATCAAAATGCTTTCTCTAAAAAATATTTATGGCCCAGAAACAAAAACATTACCAAAACTTTATGAAAAAAAAAAAAAAAAAAACAAGGTTCCATTGTTTCTCCAGGAAATTAAGTCACGGATTAAGAAACCTAAATTTCCAAAGGAGAAAAAAACCCTCTCCCATTACTAGGGTACAGAATATAACTAAGAACTAATCAGAATACCATTCAAAGCAGAAGGTAATCCTTATCAAGAATCCACTTTTAAGATCAAAACTCAAATGATATACAATTATCCTGTTATTTGATCAAAATTGCAAATTTTCTCATAAAAATTTATTCTAGAATCTAGATTGAAGAACACTAAACCCTCTCGAGGGTATAATTAATGGAAATAAAAATCAAAGAAATACCTTGAACTTGGCTTGTTTTAGTATTGGGGCATCTCCAGTTGCTCTCAAATGGACAACAACTGCACCAAATTGAAAACCACAAGAAAAAAAAAAGGGTTAGGAAAAAGCACTTAACAAAAAAATAAGTAAACAAAAAACCCGAAATTTTAAGCCTAATTAAAGAATTAGTTAAAATCGAAACAGGATATCGGAAAACCAAGGTTCAAGGGTTTTTTTCAGTGTGGTTTCGATGATTGACCTTTTCGAACAGAACTGGGTGACTCAGCTGCCATGGGTTACCTGAGCTAGAACGCGGGTTCAGAGGTGAGTTTTAGACCGAGGTTCAAGAAATTGCTACTTCCACTGTAGATTTTTGACTTTCCAATTTCTTGTAGGGCGTGGTGAAAAAAGGGCGGAGCTCATTTAGAAAAGTTAGATTAATTTAAGGCCGTGTTTGAGGATCATTGAAGCCCTTTTAATCAAACCCAAAGGGAGCCCATCATGGTTGTTCCATTTTTTTTTTTAATTTAAACCCACAAAATTAATGATTAAATAGAGATATTTCAATTCTTTCATAATTTTTTATTTGAAGTTAACTGATATTGAATTTTGGATACCATAGTTTTATTATATAATAATTAATAAAGTATGTGATCTATTGATAGAATGTTGAACTCTTAACTTTAATTATCTAATTTTAAATCTTAATAACCTCAAATATAAAAAATATTAATAAAGTAGAAAAAGATTACACATAAATACCTAAAACCTAATCCCAGAAAAAAAAAAAAAACTATCTCTTGCCTAATTAGTCAATGTTGTCACAAATAATAATGGAAAGTAAAAAAAGTAAATGTATGAAAAAAATTTAATCAAGAGATAGATTTTCGTAAAATTAAGATTCAATTCCTAACATTTATAATTCTTCTTTTTCAATCCCTTAAGTTTCAACCTCTTCAAAAAATTAACACTAATAGAAGCAATAATAATAATGGAAAGTAAAAAAAGTAAATGTATGAAAAAAAATTTAATCAAGAGATAGATTTTCGTAAAATTAAGATTCAATTTCTAACATTTATAATTCTTCTTTTTCAATCCCTTAAGTTTCAACCTCTTATCATAAAAAAAGAAAAATCAATAGGTCTGAAAATTTTCTAAACATTAATAGAAGCAATATAGTATTGGTGTAAAACTTTTTAAATATTATTTGATATAAGCAATGAATGATACGGTTTTTTATGACTTTTCCAAAGTCTATAGTATATTGGATTCAGAAGTTAACGTTTAGGGTTTGCCAAAAGCTATATATTATAAGCTTCTCCTAAAAATAATTTTACTATTTAAATTATATGACATAAATTTCCACCAATTTTAGAAAGAAGATTTGGTGACATGAAAATGATGAGGTGAGTCAACTAATCCTGGCAATGTCGCAAAACTCTAATTAATTATGGGTATACTTAGTTTGATATAAAAAAAAATTTATTATTTGATATAATGCATCGACCTAACTTACCAAATCAAATGCGAAATTCTTTATTAGAAAACAATATGATTGGTTTTTTCAAATTATTTTCTTTTAATAAAAACAAAAAATTGGAATGATATGCACTTATGCACTTATATATTAAATAATTTACATTATAAAATGTTTTATTCTAAATCTATACGACAAAAAATAAGCAGAATCTCACCTAGCAAAAGCCACATTTTAATAATCGAATGAATTTTCTTCACAATCTTATATATAAGAAAGAATTGTCCCCATAATCCAAGCCAAGTGGACCATTGTAAAATATATATGTTACCAAAGTTTCAAATAATTTGGGCACCTTTATATCATCATTTATTTTATTATAAGAATCCTACTGATCAATTTTTTTAGCCTTATTTAAATCCATAATTAAATTCATCTTCATATGGTATAATAATTTAGTTAAAACCCATCAATAATTAAAGCCACTAACTAAAGCAACATCAAAAAGCCAAAAGTCCAGCCAGAACGGGTAAGCAAAAGAATAATACTAAAAGATTTAATTTTCAAATATAAAGAAACAATTGAACTTCAGTAATTTTGATGATTTAATAACACTATTGATAAATACAATTCAATAGAGAAAAGCCAAACTCAAAATTTTCGAGGATAGGAGAATCGTTTACCCGGATTTTGAACTTTTAAATCACCATCGGTTTCGATCGATGGATTCCTAATGGAAGCTCAAGCAATATATATAGGGAGGAAACTTTTAAAAGAGGGGCAATCACATGTATCGCATTTTTGTATGTCAATGCTTCTAATATTTCTAGTAGACCATGACCTAATAATAAGTTTCAGATTTAAACCCCATTACATGTGGTTTAGTCCAATTACTTCATGTTAATTTGTTTATTCATTTCTTTTATATAAATGTAATATGTGATATATATGAAGTTTGTAATAGAAATTTCTATTGTTGTAATTGTAATCAATAAAAAAAATCATAAATCATGATTGAGCTTAAAAATAAATAAGTCACTTTAAATCTGGATTCATGTCTGATGAAATAGTCAAGGCCGAGAATAAACTATATATGGAAGAGCAAATGAGAGCTCCTTTTTACTTTCTTAATTATTTGAGCTAAGTTTTCATGGGTTTAGGTTTTTCTTTGTGATAAAAGAAGAATTCAAATCCGAGTTTTAGTAAAATGATAGACACATCTAGTAAATGCTCATCTAGTAAAAGGAAAAAGGAAAGGAAAAGAAAATTGAATATGATCAGGAAAAAAAAGGGGGGGGGGGACAGATGATGATCAAGGCACATAAAATTGTCTCCCAATAACAGCCAAGAAAGAGTGGGATCAAGAAATAAAGGTTCCTTACACAAAAAGTTCAATCAAGAATGGTCAGGGGTCAGATCATAATCAAGAAAACCACTTCACTAGCTAGTACTCCAAGATGTCTAAGCATTAATATACATCATGATATTAAATATATAGAAAGTGTTTTTGGTGGTTTTAGTAATTAATTAGGGTCTGCTTGGTCTTCAAGCCAGTCTAATTCAGACTCCATTAAAGAAGCTAGGGATGAAAAGTCCACGTCTTGCATCATATCATCAGAAAAGACAAGGGATTGATCAGAATTTGTTGATGAATATTGGCCTTGTTCACATGTGTCAGAGTTACTGTAACTATCTCCTTTGTTTTGAAAATGAGATGGCTGTAGCTGTGAGAATTCGGAATTGAGAAGAAATTCTGATAAAAAATTTTCATCCACCTCTAAATCGATCATGAAATTTGATGGATCGTTATCCTCCTTGGGCACATATTCTGATGATTCGAGCTCCTCAGACAGCGAAGAGGGTCGTAGCAGTGATGGTTTAGTGTCTTCAAGTTCTGGTTCTGGCCTGTTAAGGAAAACTTTTGTGCACCTTGTTGCCTTGGTCCTGATCACGCATGAATTGGAATTTGCTTGAGAAGGCTGCCTGAAGAATGTTTTAATGGTGGTATTAGCCTTGTTTTGGGATTGATTTGACGGTTTACGGTTACTTAAAGAGTGGCTTTGTTGGCCTTGCAACTTTTTGCTGATGTTGGTGTTCCAATAGTTCTTGATTTCATTGTCTGTTCGCCCTGGAAGCCTCCCAGCTATAAGAGACCACCTGCACTCAACACAATTTCCATCGACATCAATTAATAGTGTTCTTTTCCTTTTTCCCTAGCACAAAATAGAGAAGATAAGGGAAAAAAAAAGAAAAAAAAAGGGAATAGGCTGTTTAGATCTGTTTTAAAAGCATTTGTATTATTTATGATCATGCATATACTTTTAAACCGACCAATGATGACGTTTTGACAGTAACCTCCATGATTCGTAGTATATACCTGTCAGAAGTTTGATTTAATTGGCTAACAATGCAACATAATTGAAATATGTAGCTTCAGTTTTGCCAGGTTTTGCATCTGATAAATGGGGTGGGAAGGGGGAAAAGATTCCTACCTGTTTCCCAGGAGTTTGTGAAGCCTGATAATGAGTTCCTCTTCATCAGGAGTAATGTTCCCTCTCTTGATATCAGGTCTCAGATAATTTAGCCACCTTAACCTGCAACTCTTCCCGCATCTTTTAAGACCTGCTTGAGCCATATATAGCACAACTTTAGCTTTAATAAATTCTTCCTTGAAGTTTCAGATTATAGTCCAAAGTTCAAACCTAATGCAAATGCTCTCTCACCTGCTCTTTTTGGCAGGTTTCTCCACTGTCCTTCGCCATGAATTTTAACGTAGTCTGCCAGTATTTTGTCTTCCATTGCTGTCCATGCTCCTCTATTCAAGCCTTCTTTTGAGCAGCAAGGACTCCTCCCCATAACCAAGCAACAGACAACTCTCTCTCTCTCTCTCTCTCTCTCTCTCTCTCTCTCTCTCTAGTTACTTCTCAGTGTGTCGGCCAGTGATTTTTGCTGTTAGTTTTCCAAGGAGTTGGGACAGGACTCTGTATCTGGTGTGCCAATACTTGAATGCATTGTTCTTATTTATATAGTCACAGCAGGGATATTTAAATCCCCACTTCATTTATCAACATGTTTCACCTTTGAAGTTTAAAAAGCTCAAAAGGCTTTAGTTGCGTGTGCAAGAGGGGCTTCAACAATATTGTATAGCAATAATATAAATGACAAACATGTATTTGTATATTAATTAATTGGATATCGGTGATCATGATGGTAGCTCCATAATGTTCCATTTAACCTTGTATCATGACTACATTTTCACCTGCCTTTCTCTTCAAGTCCCTGGCTGCTTTCTTCTCAATCTAACTTTCTTTCATGAGCTTGAAAGTTGGTTGAAAAATTAAACCATCTCGCAACTTAAAAAAATAGCTAACACCAACCAAAATATGCCTTCGCCTTGTATCTATAGGAACTTCATTGATCATTGATTGATCCATCGATCCATGTAACGGAGTAAATGCTTATGATCAGCTGATGCTAACAACTAACAACCTTAAAAAATGTTTCCATGATTACTGAATAACATTAACAATCGCATGATGTGTTTTTGTCTCTAAAATTGAGTCCAAAGCCGTAGCAAAACCCCCCACCAATTTACCCACACTGGGGAGTTCCATCTCCGGCCTCATCACACATTAATTATCTGTTAGAGAATTTCACAAAAATTAAGAAAGATTTCATGTGATTTCTGAAGTTTATTGGTGATACAACTATTACAAGCTGCTGTCTTTTTTTTTTATATATATATATATATATTTAGCTCAATAATGGGTGCATGTATTTTTATTCAAAGAATTGAGTTATAAAAATTAGAATAAAATTAAGTTCAAATCATGTCATTATGTGTTTATAAATATTCAAATTCAGGATTATTCAGCTGTTCACATCATTATCACCAGGCCAACATCTTTTCACTAATTACCCATTGCTCTCATGTTGTGGCTCCCAAATTGGCATATACCCAAATTTCAAAACTTTTTTTTCTATAACGTGAATCTGAGATATAGTCAAGGGACCATCTTAGGTTATAAAAAGACAATATATACGAACTCCATGTGAATGTTTTCTACCAATAATAACTGTATTGGGTCAATAATCACATGGGGATTGAACAATGACAAAAGAATCAATCCTCAAAGCTCTGCATTTCTGTTTATACAATGGGACAAAAAATGGGGCTCCATATGTTTATTTTTACGCAGTAAAATAAAGAATAATGGCCAACCTACTCATTATTTCATAGGGATTAGGCTCCTACCATTCAACCATAAAAGACAAGGTAAAAACTACCATGGGTGGTAACTGGCAAATTTATTCCGAACTCCTTTGATAAAAGTGACTGAAGTGATCCTGCAATGACTGTACTTAAGGAGGAATTAATTAATTCAAGCTTCCCTTTATAACACTCATCGTTGGCTTACTTTTGGATCATGCAAGCAAAACTTGTATGATTTCTATTCTGTCGCTACACCGTCGAGTTTCCCACATTTTCTGTCGTTTTTACGTTACCAAATATACATCACCTTCATTTGTTTTTACATAATAGCAATTAAAATTGCTTTAAAAAAACAAGCTCTAAGTCTTGTTACTCCCAACAGATTCTCTTGCATATGCCTCAGGCTCAGAAGAAATTAAGTCCGGAGATCTGTCCGACTTACAAAAATCACCCTCAACAGTATGACTCCAAAAAGTCATAAAATCAGCACACTATTTTGCTTCCCTTGCTATAGATATGAACCTTGAGTTTGATTCCACAATCACTCGTCTATAACCATGTTTCCAAGCTACTGCCATCCCAACAAAGATAGCATGATGTTAAGCCTTGAGTATGTTTCCCCAATCAAGTTTCCTAGCATGCAATCAAACTCGAAAATCTTATAGCCTCTACTGTCTCGACATAGACCACAACAAGTCAACTCTCTTGGATTAGACTCGGTTGTCCTATATTCAACCTTCAACCTTACAAGACCATCAGGTGGACTCTCCCAATCTATTTGCAACAGCTGTCTTCCATTGAATGAAAGACATCTGGAGGTTTACGGTCAAGTAAACCCTTCCTAATAACATTCTTAACTTGTATTTAGACAGACGATAAAATTAATTTTAATAAAATTAAAAATAATAATAGAGGAGAGATTAATTATTATAGTAATAAAATTAAAATTAATTATAAAATATATATTTAAATATAAATATAGATGATAATAAGATAAATTTTAATAAAATAAAAAATAACTATTAAATATATTAATTTAAAATTTATATGTAATAAAAATTTAAATTATTTAACTTATAAAAATTAATAAATAATTAAAAATTTTAAAAAATATTTTTATGATAAATAATAATTTTGTTAATAAAATAAATAATAAAAAATAACAATAATATATTAAATAGTATTTTTATTATATTAAATTATAATTATTTTATAAATTATTTTTAAAAATTAAAATAAAAAAGAAAGAGAATAAGTTAAAATTAAAAGGATAAAAAGATTAAAAAATAATAATTATGCGATTTGTTGACTGGACCTAAAACCTCCAGTGAAAAAAAAAAAACTTCTTTTCCCACCTCATATTATTCATCTGAATAGATGTTTGATACGTTGAGCACGATTTTTCAAAACAAAGTGTAGTACGTTTGAATCCAAGTGCAGCCTTAGAAACTTTCAAACCTGCCAACAAGTAAAAACAAAAAGAAAAGGCCAAGGAGCATCACCTTCTACCAAATTATTCTTCCTACTCCAATTATATGGTAACCAATCAATCAAAAATGGAGAATAAAAAAATAATAATTCCTATGAAAACAGTTCATCCATAGATCCAAAATAGCTCTTGAAGATCATTACAATCACGTGGTAAATGAAGCATGCACGTCCTCAATCACCAATCACACTCATTTTTTTCTTCTTTCATATATAGTTAGACATATATAACGTTTTATTCTTTTATTTTCAGTGAGTTTGAATTAATTTTTGCTAGATATATGTTGTAAGGGTACACATTTAAGTAAAGGCTAGAGGATATATATATATATATATATAATCATTTTTCATTTATTTTTATGACTAACAATTGAAAAGATGTGTGGAAAATCTAGATTGTCTATCAAATATTGGATTGATTTAATTATACTTTTGTACTTGAATTTTGATAAAAAGTATAAATATGTATTTAAAGAAATAAAATAAAAATAAAAAATATAATTTATACTTTGAACTTTCAAATTATAAATCATATTAATCTAAATTTTAATCATGCTGATCATATTAATTTATATATGTGATATTTGATAAATATTATCAAGTTGTATATTCACCATTCATATCATTAATATTTTATTCTAATATAAATTAAAAAATGTATTTTATCTGAATTGTAACAATTATCTCGAATCAAACAATTATTATTTGTCATGTGGCATTTACATGACATTCACATAATATTTTTATAAAATATTTAATATTTTTATTTAACAAATAACACTTATAATAAAATTATACGGATGAAATATCATACAAACAAACTAAATTAATTATATTATAATTTGAATTAAAATATTATTTGAAAATTGAATGTGCACATTATATATTTTATTTTTTTAATATATTAATTTACATATTTTTTCTAAAATTCAGATACCAAAAGTATAACTTAACATTATTGTAGTCTAAATTATCGAAGTAACCATCAAAATATTTGTAGCTGGCATCTTTACAAATTACAATGGGATATCTCCTTTAATTCTTGCGTAAGCTGTATATCCTCAATTTTTAATTAGAAAGCTTCCCTAAAAAAAATGAAACAAAATTGGGATATTGGACAAGAATAGTAAAGTAGAGGAATCTATTCTATTAAATATAAGCTGGGTCAGTCCCAAATTAATTGAAAAAAAAAAGAAAAAGAAAAAGCAGTGATCCCAAATCTCAATCTTGGTGCATCGAAACCTAACTCTCTCTTCATATAAATAAGATCACACCTTGCACGTTGTTACGAATTTTTACCTTTTTTTAAAAAAATTATTTTAATATTAAAATGCAAGAAAATAAGTTAAAATATAACAATAAATCATAATTTTAGAATTGATATTATAAGAAATTATATTCAAATAAATATTATAGTAAAGAAAATTTTGACATATTATTGACATATAATTTACCTAGTTCTTTGTTTTTTTGCTAGAGATACATCAAATAATAGATCTGGAGTTAATGTAATTTATGTTGGTAAGTCAGGTAAGCTATCATCAGTATGATTTGATTTATGTGTATTTATATTATTTAATAAATATGTTAAACTTACATTACATTAAACATTAATTACATTTATCTATAATCATTAAATTCATGAATATCACATATGAATGTTTAAGCTTGTGAATAGTTAAATTTATTCATTTTAGATTTGATTCATAATTAATTAATAGTAAATATGAATTTAAACTCAAAATTTTAAATGATACGAAATACGAAGTACATTTATCATAATTAATTAAATTATGAATATCATAAATTCATAAATATCTAAGTTTATGAATAGTCAAATATAAATTAATATTAAATTAGATGTTATTAAGTAAATCTTGATAATATATAAAGCCGTGCAAATGTACAAAAATGAAGTTGGCATGGCAGCGTGCATGGTGTCACAAAAATAGATAATAAGGAATAAATATATATATATATGTTAAATATATATAAAAAAATTATCTCATCATTCATTATTAATGAAAATTTTAAATTTTATTGACAAGAAGATTAATAAAGTAATAAATGCTTCTTAAGATATATTAAAAGATAAAAAAAATAACCGAAAAAAAAAGGATATATAATAATTTTTTAATTTCACTTATGAAATTAAAATAAAAAATTATACTATTAGTGTATCAAAAACAAACTCATATATATTACCTTTCCAGATTATGGCTAATCGCCACCATGTAATTTTGCATTTAAGTTATTTCCCCTGATATGCAACCAATCCCCTGAAAGCCCGCAGATATATTCCTTTAGGTAGAAAATCAACTGCTCAGATGCAGAACAGATGGCCTTAATTGGAACACGTTCCTGTTTTTCTTTTCTTTTCCTTTGTTTTGGTTTCTCAAGAAATTGATTAACATCTTCACAGCACCTTTCTGTTTTTCTTTTCTTTTGGTTTCTCAAGAAATAGATTAATATCTATATATTCAAAGCTGTAACTGTATTATACATGCAGAGATTAGGCTACTTTAGTGTTTAATTTAATAAAAGCATCTGTTGAACTTTAAATTCAACCACACACTCACATTCTTTTAGGTTTAGGGGAACTGTGTGTCAGGAATCCTCTATATCTTCACAATTCTATAACTTATAAACTGATTGCGCTTATTACACAAGTTTCAAAATTAAATTACGATTTCGTAAATATGTATCACATTTGAAATTATCAAAAACTGAATCTTATTTATTAAATTTAAAAAATTTAATATTTTATCAACAGATACATTATTATTAATAAATTAAGATCATTTTATTTTTAGTAAATTATAATATATACATATAAAGTTCAATCATAATTAAAGATTTTTTAATTCATATAATATAATTACTTTTGTAACATTTAATTAATATAGAATAAAAAATAATATAGCACCAAAAAAAAATCAATAAACAAAGAAGCTAAAAAGTAACGGATCAATTAATACATACCTTAATATGAGAATCAAATTAAGCGTAATATTGAAAAAGATTAAATTAACATAGAATGAGATTTGGATATAAAATCTGAAAATTTTAAAGCCTCTTATTTTAACCTTTTGATCCTTTCGAATCTAATTAATTAAATGTTTATTTAGATTTTATCACATCTCTGGTGTAATGTGATTGAATTCATCATATCATTAATTAAATTTAAATATTAATTTTAATGAGATTCATTTAACATAAATTTTTTATTAAATTTTTTTAATCATAACTATAATAATTTTATTATTGTTTTTAATCATATCATAATCAATTTTATTATCTATTTAAATGTAACCTAAATTAATATGAAGGATTTGGTAATTTCTCATGAAGTTAAATGAAGACTGAATGCTGAAAATTGAATGCTTTAAGAACGATGATAGGACAATTTATGGTACATTTTTTTTAACTAGCAATTGCATTTCGAACAACAAAAATGTTAGGTAACTTATAAAGACAATTGCCTAACACTAGAAAAGCTTGGTGTGAAACAGGTATGCAGTTGCATGTGGAGATGGATTGCTCAGATCTTTGACTTGATGATGCATGTGGTCCGTGCTATGTCGGATTCAACGTATTTAATGTTGTCAAGATTTAAATGTTTATTACCCAAATAACCCCTAAAACCCCACCAGCCATTCAACTTGTTCTCCCATCATTCCACGTTTGAATGTTTTGGTTGTGCTCTCTGACCGGAGCTTTTGGTTGTGTTGTCAAACTATGCATTTTCAATTATTTGCAGCTTTCCTTTCTCTCACACTAGCACTTGATATATCTTTGGATCAGAAGCAAATCTGTAAGTGAGATATTTATATAGTATAAATTATTGAAATTTTTATATTTATATTATATTTTAAACAAAAATTATATGTTATAATTTGTGTTAATATTAAAATATAAAATATATATTTTTGATTTTATTAAATTAATATATAATAATTATTAAAATTTTTAATTATATCACATTTATATTTTACTTTCGCATTTTATTTATATCACATTAACGTATCATATTTTAAAGTATAAAATGTAATAAAAAGCAAAGGGAAACCCACTGCTTAACATGAAGACCATCAACAATCAACGGTCATTACTACAAGAATAAACGCTCAGCATCTTTTCAAGGACGAAAGCCTTAAGTAAATTACGTAGAGAATTGCATTTCCCAAAACTAATAGAATCAAAACTATATTGATTCTAAGATAAAAATTTTTTTTAAACAGCAATTAGACTGGTATTTATTCAAAAAAAAATCTTTAAAAAGAATTTTTTATTTATAAAATACACCAAAAGTCTAACAAATTTAAATTGTAAAGCACACTTAAAATTTTAATTATTTTAAAGCAATGATTAATTTAAAACTTAAGAGTAATGAACAATTATAGTAGCGTAATATAAAAGGGTAATTTATGAGATTTTATATAGTCTTTTATTTTTACAAAACGCAGTTTATATATGTATTTTTTAAAATTATTTATTTTGATTGCATTAAAACAGTAAAAGCCCCCTATAATTTCCTCTATATATATATATATATATATATATAATTCATAATGATTTCTACATCATCAAAAATTTCAAAACCATGTTTATGTTATTTTTACTTGCATTTCACAAAAATAAATCCATTGGGGTAGATTGCTCATTGTGTTTCTTTTCCTTGAAATGTGTCAATATATTTATTTTATTTATGCTTTTATGTCTTGATTCATAAGATTAGATATTTTAATGTAGTCTTTGTCAATTAAAAAATTATTTTTTTGTGAATAAATTAATTGTAATTATGGAAATTATTCATTGCTACAATATTTGTGATAAATAAATGAAAACTGCTTCTTTTACTTCTGACCAGCATTGTAACATCTAACAACAATGAACAATGTTTCATTACCATAGATCAAGACATGTTGCAAGAATGCACCACTTCAGTGAAAAGAATTTGACACTAGGGAACTAAACTCTCTTTATAGCCACCATTGATAAATTCACTTACAGCATAAATCATGAATAGAAAATGATAAATCAGATGGTCAAATAGTTGTAATCTTTTCCACTAGTTGTTCCATGTCTCTGATACTTACCAAGTAATTACAGCTTTTGCTTTTGTCAATCCACTACAGCTTAAGCTTCAGTAACTATATAACCTGCAAAGGAGGCAGTTTGACAAGGCTGGTACATTTAGTATGAAAATAGCCAAATAGAGAATGAATGCTCATATGGAATAAATGCCAAAAACAACATCTTAAGGAACATAGTGTGATCTAGACAGCATTGAACTTCTTCTGCCGGGCAAAAAAAAAAAAAAGAGTAAGGTACATTAACCTCCTAAACTAAAATGAAGTGTTTAATGTGATACTTGGATTTTAAAAATTTTTAATGTGACGCATTAAATATAAATCTATTAATTAATGAGATACTCGTCTTTAACGTGATTAATTTCAAATGATAATACATAATGGACAAATAACCATCTAAGTACTATGTTAGTTAACATATTTATAATTCAGGCACCATATTAGAGATTTTTAAAGTTTTAGTAACACATTAAACATTTCACTATAGTTGCACTATAGTTTAGAGACCATTTATAACATTAACCCAATGAATAATGCATGCGTAATTTTTTCTTCAGCTCATAACCGTACCATGCAGAGAAGGCTTCTCATTGATATAGAGGTAAGCTCAAGATATATTCCAGCATGGATTTTATAAGCTCAAGATACAGCATAGATGAGCAGACAACAAAGTAACACCTATCTGGACAGTAACAAATGGGAGAGGAGCAATACTAAATCATTAGTGAAAGTGAATTATGTTGCTCACCTACAAATACACATTGAATTTGGATCCAGATAATGAATGACAACTTCTGTCCATCAATAACGAGTTATTTGCTGCAGCATTTGTGAACCTGCAGCTTGTGAAACCAACTGCTCGGAACTTGAAGGTCTCATTAAATGGTTTGCACCAACTGGGTTGCCAAGCCCTTGTCTTATCGTTTCTTTAGGATTATTTGCATTTGTTTCAGGCTGTGATGATTCCATCAGTGCACGTATCTAATCAAGTTATTTGCATAAGGAAAAGTTTTAATGCTTTAGGATAGTAAGAAAAAAATTAGACTTCCGTACTGAAAATTTAACTCACCATATCAAGACGCTTCTTGTGAAGGTCACTGGATAACTGGATGTTTGAAAAACAGGAGTCAAAGTCATCAATCGTATGCTTTATTATTTTACAAAAAACCAAAGATTTCCATACAAGATAAAAGATGCTTATGCTAATAATATCAGCAGAAATACTAGAGAAGAAAGATCAAAAAGGTTCAATTTAATAGGCAAAGTAAAATGTAAAATGTGAAAGATTAATACCGAAAGAAAAGATTTTGACTACCATAGATATGTGTTAAACTAAGATTTAATAAAGAAAAAATCATCCTACAATGGTCATTCGAAATTCAAATTCACATACTTTAAAGTCAAGATTCTAAGACATTTGTGCACTGACATCTCAAAAATGACAAATAGAAATCCTTACAGGTCTTGTTTGGTTCTGCTCTTCCCTTGAAAATCCTGGAATAGTCAAGTGCCAGTTTTTCTCTGCACATAATCCCATGTACAACATTCATTACAGCCCCATTAGCTTCACTTGAAATTAAAGTAAGAAGAAACAGTAAAACTTTTTCAATGCTGCACTATTGACATTAAAGTAATACATAATTTATCATAATATACACAAGATGGGAAGTGCATAGGAAGCAACTCTTGGAAGGGAAAATTATACTATCAATTATAGTAAGTTTTAGGAATTTTACTCACTGCCAGGAACAGGATATATTTAGTTGTAAATGTAAGCTTAAAGTTCAGGTTTTTGTTTTTTCTTGTATGAAATCGCAATGCAACTTTTCAGAATTATGTAAAAGGAAGAGAAAGATCAGAGACCACAGATTTCATCACAGCAAACAGTACCTCACATGAAACATTAAGTATGCCGACTTATATTCATACAAAACCTTGAGTATTCCTGAATTTTACCACATACAATAAAAAAATAAAGCATAACTAAGGCTCCGATGTTGGTGCTTTTGCTTTTTCTTTGTTCAGCAGAAAAGTGAAAAGCAAAATAATAGAAAATGAATTCAAAACAAGGGACAAATAGCAAAAAGCAAAAACACCAACCAAACGGAGCCTAATATATGTTGTATCCTTACATTAATATATAACTATTCCAAAGAAATGCAAAATAGTGAAGCACAAACCTAAGTGTAGCAATAGATCCTTGGACTCTAACGTTGATGATTTCCTATGCTTCGCCAAACTGCATGCAAATGTAGTCACCTGAAAACAAGTGAAATGATATAAGTAAAAACAAGAATACCATTACTTAACTGCTGATGAAGGTAGCAAGGACAGAGGAAACGGAGAAAAACCAGAAGAAAGATTGAAAGAAAGAAATAAAGAAAGACAATACAGCAGTACATAGGAATAGTTTAATTGTACAGGCTATGAATGACGGCTAGTTAGCACTAACTGAAGTTAAAGTTAAAAGTTCTATAACATGGTATAAGGTTATAATAATTAAAACACTCTTTTCCCTCTCTAAAATGTAGTTATAAAAATCAAATAACTTAAATAAACTCAATGTCTTCCAAACCATCCACTCTGAGGCCAAAATATTAATTTCCCTTCAGGCTAAGCACAAAAAATTGCAGGAAAAATTTCATGTAGTTCTTAAAATATATTCTGCAATGTTCAAGATATATATGACATAAAAAAGTAACCTAATGCTAGCCATATCTATATTTATAACAGCTTAAGCTCTGAGATTATTCATATTATGATTTGTGATTCATTACCACCAGAAACTAAAAAATATGAATGGCAAAGGCATATATCCATAACACCAAACACAGAAAGGCAATATCAACGAGGTAAAGCCTTTAAAGAAGATGCATTCTAGCTTAGCAGAGCCTTACAGAGTCTATGAAATCATCAGCAATCTCCAGAAGTAGATCTTCAACTTCTGGTTCTAGCTTTCCTTGCGAATCAACCTGAACACAGCCAAAGATGAATGCCACAATTTATCACAAAAGAAGCAAGAAAGGATGAAACCATTGGAAACTAATGAGAAGAAAAATGAAAGACACATAGTTAAAAGCAGGAACAACTTGTGAAACTAGATCCTGTATCTTTCTCTTTCCAAGAAGTTGATTGGTTGCCTCAGTTCCTTGGCTCGAACTTCCTCCAGGTGTGGTTGTACCAGATGCAGTTGCATCAGGCTGCGATCCTGTAAAACTGAGAGTTTTCTGGCCTGCTGGTCCTGGCATCCTAGGAGACTGCTGTTGTTGTGGCTGATGCAATGGTGATTGTTGTGGTTGTAATTGTTGTTGAGGTTGTTGTTGTAGCTGCTGCTGCTGATGTTGCTGTGGCTGCTGCATTTGAGGATGTCCTATTTGTGACTGCTGCTGTACTAGCTGAGACAATTGTTGAGGGTTCAAGCCCATAGCATTTTGGTGCAACTGAGGAGAAGAAGCAGCCAGTTGGTGTTGCAAGAGGCCTGGTGATTGCCTCTGAAGGCGGAAAGAAGGTGAGCCCGGACTAGATATTGATGGCATTTGCTTCAACCACTGTTGCTGCAAGATAGAGTTCTGCATCATACCCGGTTGTCCATTCTGACCCAGCCCTGACAACTGAGGGTTTATAAATGCCTGAGAAGATGTTCTTGGTAAGCTTTGAACCTGTAGTTTAGAGAAGAGATATCACATACTAAGATAATGCACAAATTAATTCAAAGACATGAATTAAAACCGCATATGACAAAGTCTCATATATGTTGCCTACCCCCAGGAAATTTTTATCAAAGCTAGCAATGGCATAAAAAGACAGGTTGAGAAATAAAATCAATTAAAAGGATAACATAAAATATTTGGTTTTACTTTAGCTTTATTAATGGAGGTAAAATAGCATGCTATAGGTAAATCTTGCATCTGTTCCCAGTATAGTCAAAGGGAAATTAGGCCATTTCCAAATAAAAGCATTCGAAGGGAATTCAATACCAATAACTATGCACCAAAAGAAGTGCAATCATTTATCAACACTCGTACTATTGCCTGAGAATGCAAAAGCTGTCAAAATATCTTAGATAACATTCCAGTTCTTCCAATGAGCAATATGAAAGATTTTATCAACAATATGAATGGTTATTTGTTCGCAAAATCATGCCATTAATTTCCAAGTCTTCACCAGCAAAAAAGATACTAAAAAATCATGAAGTCCATGCCCTTTTTATTTAAAACATTAAAATGATTTTTTGCAATGTATATGGCAAAAAATTCCAATAAATGTCATGAATAGTGATAATCCAGTTCTATAAAATACAGCTGAAGATCTCACTTTTAATTAAAAAAAGGTGGAGTATGTCTCACAGGAAATTCAAACAACCTCCAAGGTACAATGGCTTGATCAAAAGGAAAAGTATTCCTGACACTTAACTAACAGTTAGCTAAATCCAATTTGGAATAACCTCAAAAATTGTTGTCATTGTGGTATTCTAGAAGATAGATGATTTCTGTTTCACTTCTTTGGTATTAATCCTATACATATTACAGAAAGTACATGCAGCCTAAAGCTGCAAATTTCTAATTATAAGAATAAATAGTTAAAAACTTTTCTTGACCTAGTCTGGATAGACATAAGCCAAAGAATAGTAAACTTATGTTCGCCAAAAACTGAAGAGATTTGCGATGTAGAAAAAACTCTGCTCGTTTGAACTTAACATCAGAAGATTGATGTCTCAAAATTGCATCATAGCTTAAAGAGTCCACTAAAACATAAAGCAACTTCTATATTAGTGCAAACTTTAACCTCTATACCCATAGATAAACTAGACAAATTCCACCTACAGGGTTTCAAGAAATCATTATAATCTTATAACTAAACAACTGAAACAGAAGAAAAGCAGGGAAAAAAAAAGCATTCAGTTCACGGATCCATCAAGAGGAAAGTAGTAAATACAGCACTGTCAGAAGAAACAATACCTGAGGAGATGTTAGTTGTGTTTGTTGTGCTAGCTGCAGCCTCATCTGTCCCTGATTTATCCTCTGTTGAGCATAAAGAGCTCCAGTAGCCCTTAGTTGTGAGTTCAAATTCATCATTCCCATTGCCTGCATCCCTTGCAAAGATTGTCCACTTGGGTTTCCTGGATGAAACTGAGACCCTTGCACCAAGCCAGCTTTCTGCCTTGGCTGCATAAAAAAACCTCAAATGTTTTTATAATCAATTTCTATAAGCAAGGAAAAACACAAAATTAGATAGGAATTTTATCTGTCAAGCCCTACCTAGTAATATGTTCTGAAGTAATTATATTATTAATACCATTAAAAAATTATTAGGATGAATTTAATATAAATCTAGGTCTATTTAAGAAATCATTATAATCTTATAACTTTAGATGGTTAAAAACTAAAACGTGATTTAATTGCACTGGAGCAAGAAAGGATTATAGAAAAAATATGCCCTTTAGCAACTCCAAAGTGCTCAAGGAGTAGCGACAATGCAATTGTTCCTTTCAAAAGGCGAGGAAAGCACTCATAGGCACCAATTACACTTGCCTTACCATATTCAAGACGCTAACCAATAGTATTACCGTAACCATTAACTAGGCAACGATTATCTTTTGGAAATAAATAGAAACATAAGCAATCATCAATAAATTCCAACTTTAGCCAACAGTAAGATCTCAAGTACAAAGTGCAACTTACTTAAATCATTTACCAAAATAAGCGCAGAGTTCTCTTCAAATTCCCCCCGAAACCACGGGAAGGAAAGAAGAAAGAAACCAAAAAAAAAACACTTAAAAATTGCAGATCGCACCTTGAAAATTCTTCGATCACAATTTATCACGAAAGACTTATTCAGTTCATACTAGCATAAACCCCAGGGGTTTTTATGACACCAATTTTTTTTTTAGTAACTCATTACTTCTATATAAGAAAATCAATAGGGAAAACTTGAATCCAAAAATTGAGAAAAATATTTCAAAAAATCATCAAGGAAAGCAACAACTTAGCATCAACAACTCATCCAATTCAAACCCAAAAACTTTCCCCACTTTCAAGCAAAAATAAATGATGATTTCAAAGCAACAAATTCATTAAAATTTATACTTCTACACTAAAACCAACGAAAAAGAAAATGCCTTTAAAAGTTAGAAAAATCAATTTTCAGCCAAAAGGGTATCCAAAAAGATTCATACCGAAGATAAAAGCTGAGACTGCAAACTAAACTGAGCAGTAGCTGCAGCTGCACCACTGAGCATAGGCAAATGACCACTTTGCCCAATCAAAGCTGACCTTGATATATTGGGATTGCCCATCTGTTGATTCTGCTGGTTTTGTTGTTGGTTTGTTTGAATTGAAGCGGACCCACCAAAATTCATTTGGCCATAAAACCCAGCTTGTTGTCTCAAAACGTTGGCGTATTGGGACTGTTGTTGTTGTTGTTGCTGCTGGCTTTGTTGTTGTTGCTGTTGTTGGAGTTGGTTAAATTGTTGGTTAAGGCGTGTCATAGATGGGTTTCTTTGAAGGGTTTGTTGGATTTGGAAATTGGGCAAAGCTGTAACATTTTGTTGAGTTTGTTGTTGTTGTAAAAGTTGTTGCTGTTGTTGTTGTTGTTGGGGAAGAGGTGGGAAAGGTGGAGATGAAATTTGAGAGATTTGCTGTTGCTGTTGCTGTTGTTGTAAATTTTGATGTGGATTTTGCAGGGAAGGGTCAATGGATGGAGACGGAGGAGGGATTTGAGGAGAAGGGTTGTTATTTTGAGGAAGAATTGACGAATTCGTTGAAGGTGTTGGTGTTAACGTTGTTGTTGTCGCTGTTGCCGTCGAAAGTGGTGGTGTTGGTGTTGGCGTAGGATTAACATTCGTCGTCGCCGATGAAGATGCTGGTGTCGCAGTTGATGACGAAGGGTCCATCATCATGGGATTTTGCGACTGAAGCGGTTTCGGAGGTGATGTTGAAGATGTAGTTTCAGCCATCTCTGTTTCTTTTTAGGGTGATTTTCTATGGGTGCTCGAATTGCTAATCCATGGTGGAATTGGAATTTTGATTTTTTTTTTTTTTTAATAAGAAAAAGGAAAATTCTTTAGAGAGGGAATCTGGACCGTACACGTAAGCAAAAGAGAGTGGGATAGTTTGGCTGGCACGTGTGGAATCTAGTTGGCAGAAGAAGTCCGAAGTCAAAAACATGTGGCTTCGGTTTGATTGAGGAACAGCATAGCGAAGTACTGTAATAAGTACCATGGTTTTTGTCTCTCCACACACTCCAAATTCCAGACTCTATAATGTAGGACTAGGTAACTAAAACCCTGTCGTTTTTATGAATTGTTGCATGAATCGCAGTGACTTTCACTGCTCGTGCTCACTTTTCAAGCTTTAAAAAAAAAAAAAAAGAGAAGCTTTTTCCCTTGGTGTTTTTGTCGTTTTGGGCCAGCAGTAATGTAAAAAACTTTGTCTTGTCGACAAGGGTTGTTAAAACATAATTGATGGGAACCATTTTCTTTAATGCTGATTCTGAATCTGATGCAACAATCTTTGGGCCTGTACAAGGTTTTTCCAACAGCAATAGGATTAAGCTTTTAGACTTATTTTCTGCTACCAGTGTTTGAGACAAACCTTCAGCTGTCAACAGCTTGCTCGCGGTTTCTCCATCTTTGTTCTCGATTTAATTCACCAACAGAATCCATAGTTCCAGACCACCATGGATTCCATGGTTTCTCTTTTTGCACCCTTCTTGCTTTGCTATGCCCTCCCTCAAGAAGAGTTCAAAAGTCCGAGCCAAGGGAAATCGCTACCATACACCGAAAAGTTCTTGAGTACTTGAAACTCTCTTTTATGCGTCTGTTCATACACTGGAAAGTTAGAAAGAAGAGCAAACTGCACTGCTATCCATGTTTTACAAGCAATATTTGAGCAAAGGTTAGAAGACACGGCTGACATCTTCCATGCCATCGCGATCTTATGATCTGCTGCTATGCCATATTGATTGCAACCGTTTCACTGGGTAGTCAACAATGGAGCCTACCTACAATCTATAAACAAGAATGACTGCAAAAACATAGTTGTAAACAAATTCCAAGTTGACACTATATCTTTTCCATCCATCCGGTATTCAGTTTATACATTCAAGATGAGTAACTTCAAATCAGCATTGTTTAGTATAGAGGTTATTCAGTGGGATGACAACAAAACAAAATTGCAGCTTCTAACTGCATCTCTCTGGGACCGATGGTTCCTACAATAAAAATGTACTTGTAGGATTTGCGAAGAAGTGTTTGCGGCAAACCATCTTTGATGTTCTACAACCACTCCCAATTAGGGTTGCCAGAAGGGCAGGAGGACCACTACCTGTTGTTTGAAGCATCTTCTTCACTATGAGATGTTTATCCAATATCATCAATTCCAGCAACTTTCTACAGCTCTACAGAAAGTTTAGAGATGTGCATTAGAGGGAATTTATGTTAAAGAGTAAGTCTTTATCAGTAGACAAGCATATTAATCAGGCAAAAATTACTGGTTGTAAGCATACCAGCATTATGGACTCAATACATGTTTGATGGATAAATGAACACACTTCAATATTTAAATTTTTACTATTTTCTCATTATGTTATCCTTTTCTCTCTCCCCTTCTCTGTGTGTGTGGGTTGGGAGGTCGTGCCAGGGAATTGGGGGCGGGGGGTGGTTAGTATTCGTCCTACCTAGGAACCTACTTTGGTTAGAGCACAACATAGTAACTTATCCATCAAAAATGAAAAAGAAAAGAATTCCAACTCTATATTGGAACTTCTAAAGTTATCATCATCCATGATTGCAAGTTACACGCAGAAAAAGTCAGATCAAACTGCGGAAAATGTTTTTTTTTTTCCAAACACCTAATTCATTTATTATGTGATGATTATCAATTATGCATTTTCCAATCTTAGCCATAGGGTGATGCAAGGCATTCAGCATGATGGCTACAAACTTCCACCTTCACCCTCAACAAAAGAAAAATACAACAGCATACCTGGGGGATTAATACATCCATTCGGCAGATAATATCCTCCTGATTAATGATTGAAGAGAACGAAAAAGAAAGTCAGGAAGGCATATGATAAAAACACATTTTGTTAACACCCCACCTTGACAAAGCCAATTTCATTGACCAAACCACCATCACCAACACTAAGGAAAGTCATATCCAAAGCAATGGGCAAAGCACCCAAAAGAAAGGTCATGGAAAATATAGAATGAATAAAAGGAGAAACAAAAACAAATTGAATCTTTTAATCTTAACATTTGTTTTGGCTTCAATTCACCAATGGCAAAAACGATTCATTTCAGTTTGATTTCAAGTTTTGTTATTTTATCTAGTCTAAAATTTGAAATTGAATTTTTCTTTGTAGAAAAAAGAATCCAAAGCTAGGCTCAAAAGAATAATTGCAAATTTGAAAGCCCTTTAAAAATCTGAAAACTGAGAAATAACTTACTGAACCAAACTGTTAAAACTTAATTAGAATTTTTTTTTTAAAAATTTAGAAACCGAATACTTCAATTCAATTCAAATTTTTTTTTTTTTCAAAACACATGAACCAAACCAAACTGAATTCATGACAAGCAAAAACTTTCCCTATGCCATTTAAAACAGGTCACTGCAAGTGTTAAAAAAGGCCCTTTTTTAGTGAAATTGAAAGTTCTAGTCAGTCATATCACTTCAAATTCTCAAAATTCTTGTTCATCACTTGCTTTCAGAAAACCATGACGTCAAATCAATAGAATTGTCTGCAGAAAAGCCCTTACCTCCAATATCCCAGGATTTTGCATCACAGTACCAAGGACATGGCGTATAAGTCCATTGTAGACCATGCTGTTGATGGTCCCATCTGCATTTATCCAAGGCAATATAGGCACCAATCTTTCACCTGAAGATCGCTTATAAATTACACACTCATTATCCCCTTCCAAGGAACCAACTTTACCAGCCATGCAGCTTTCATTCACATTGTTAGTAGGAATTTCATTCGAAGGTAAAGCATGCTCTTCAGGAAGATTAAGAATAGTAACTTTGTGCACATCACCAACAGTTACACTTCCCAATAAGTTAGCAGCATCAAGACTCTGACTTTCTTGCTGAAGGATCAAGTTGCCATCATCCTTTTCTTGGGACGTTAGTGACAAAGGAGGCTTAAGATCTTGATGGAAACAAGAACTTGAGGCAAGAAAATACTTGGAATGGTATAAAGCATCAACAACACGAACAGAATCATAAGCATTGACCTGTACGAAAGCCAGCATGACATCAGTGCACAACGGTTTGGTAATGAAAAGTTAAGAAATTGTCTAGTGCTTTGACAACAAAGTACGGACTACCAAGCCATGCTCTTATCTCCCTCTTTCCCCAAAAGGACCACAAAACTGTTTTCTAACAGAAATGAATGCCAATGAATAGCCTAAATTTTTTGTTTTAACCTTTTCTACTGTCATGGCTGGAACATGACTATTAATAATTTAAGACCTGTTCCAAAATAACCCCTCCCTTGCACTATTGGCAAGAAGCCAAAGAGGAAATACATATTTGAGAAATATTTCATATAAAACAAAATGAATATTCCCAATGGTCAATTATAACAACCTTTAAAGCTCTTCCAAATGCTTGGAGCGTATCAATGACAATTTCAGGCATCTTTTCTCCTGCAGAGGAACATCTCAAAACACTCAATGAACTGGAAGTTACATACATATATCCTCTTTTCTCAAATATGAAGAGGAATCGCAAGCACAAACATATCCATACACAAACAAAAAAAAAAAAAATACCTGGCATATTGACAAGACTATAAATATCTTCTATGCTCAAACCTTGGTCACCAGCCTTCTGAATTTCAGCACAAACAACCTTGATGATCTCAGGATCAAAGTGACTGCCGTGTCCTCCATCAGAAGGTTTTGACAACAGATGCTCAGTATAACTAGCCATAGCTTCCCAAGGTGACTCACTAGACTTCAATGCTATGGTGACATTATTTCCAAACTCGAGCATTTCCTTTATATGGTCCAAATTAGTTGAACTACTTTTAACCTTCTGACTTAGGGTTTCGTCATTCACAAGCTCAGGGTTGAAAGTCTCCTCATCCTTGAACAATTCTAAAGCATTGGCAGTGGAAAATTTTGTGCTATACACAGATACCATGATACTAGGAAAGCCCTTTTCTCGTCGTGACACAAATTCACCTTCTGCTATGGATTTTAATTTTTTAGCCTTATCAGTATCACATAATTCATTATCCTCAGCTCTACGTTTTAAGCTTCTCAAGTCATCAGCTTCTCCAACACCTTCATCTGGTAAGCATGGGGAAACAGAAAGTTCACCAGAAGAAACCAGAGAAAATAAATGGAAAATATCACCACATTGCAAATCTGCAGTAAGATTAATCCCCCCTTCCATAAGATCTTTTTCTCTTTCATGAATCCAAGCAGAAAAATTAGCTGCTCTCTTTCCTGTATTTCGAGGAAATGTAGACTTAGAAATACTGTGCAAGAACTGTTGAGAAAGAGCAAAAGGTTGACCACAAGTACCACCAATCTGCCAAAAGTTGAAGGAAATTCGGAGTCAGGAAAATGCAGGTAAACAGAGGGGTGAAATTGGGGTTAGTAGTAGCACATTAGATAGAAGACAAGAAATGATGCAGTTGAAAGGAGCTGACATGGTGAGAACAACTCAAAGGAAGGCAAGGCAAAGACATGAGATGGTTTGGCAATGTCCAAAGAAGACAATCACTTTATATAAAGCAAACTTGAAAAAGTTTAATTATTAATACCAGAGTTGCCACCAAAGACATAGACCAGAAAACACACACCAATATGACTCTGTTTTACTTGTTGATAAGATTAAAAACAGACCTGCCCCAGCCCCACTCACCAGATTTACCGTTTGAGCTAAAGGCAGAAGATGAAGGTACCGTTATAATGGTGATAAAAGCCAACCACTAAGACTCCAAGGATATCTTATTGAATGTCATAAGATTTTGACTGAAATGAAAAGTTAACTCTAAAGAAATTGGTGAGTGGAGATCTTTATTGCATCCTTATGCCTCTTATTCCATAAGATTAAAAAATACCACCCTAACAGTAACACTTCCATGTAAATTGCATAGATTGCAATAATTTAAAAATATAGAAGGTAGAAACTGCTACTTACCATAATTTTTCTATCTCTAAGGTAGCTAAAAGCTGCAAAAAGATCATGTTCTGAATACCGGCGCAAAGTTTCTGCCAGCAAATTTGGAAATGGTGGTGCTGTAGATGTGCTCAAGAAAACAAGCTTAAATAGTTCAACAGCATTAGAAACAGCCAAAGATCCATGTACTTGTCTGCCAACACCATTTCCTACATTCCAAAGTTTAACTAACTTTTGATGAAAGCGATGGTGTTGTGAGCTTTGAATAGAGCCTTTACGATGACCAGCACCAGGCCTCCCTATATCCTCATCTTGGGTAGTTGGTGAAACCACTTCAGGTCCCTGTAGATCCTGCTAGGCGAAACAAGAAAGAACACAATAATTTCACCTATCCAGATTCCAAGGGTACTTTAAAATATTGGGAAACACTGCCCACCGATGAAAATCAATAAAATCTTTTCAACTGCAATTTGACAAATATTATGAAACTTTGGTAGCATTATTGGAATAAAACATAAAAGATGTGAGCCATAAAGATCAGGAATTACATAATCCTCTGAATTCATGTTTATATTCGACCACTCAGCAGATACAGATCCAACCCTTTTAGAGGCCTCTAATTTAGCAATCTGTTTAAACCGAAGAACATCCTCCAAAGCTCTTTCTATCTTTCTGTCTTCAAAATCATCCCATCTTTCTTCCTCAAAGCCTGCATCTTCACCATGTTCAATGCCATTGGAGAATTCAATTGATGAAGATCGGACAAGAAGTCTGCAATCACTGTTGTTGGATGACCTATTTTGGCTTTTCTCAAGATGCATCACATACCGTTCACTAAGCATATTGCATAGTTTCATTAATGCTTTCCTAAATTTTGCACTTCTTTTTAGGGATGTCATTCTTCTTGCGCAAGCACGAGGAGGTGATGGAAGGCCAGCAAGTGAAGTCCAATCTACACGGTGAAATTTAGCCCCCAAAGCAGCACGGTATCTTGCATATTGGATTACCAATTCCCTGCAAAGAAGATGTTGATGTGAAACACAAACAACCATAATATAACCTAAGCAAATAACATAATATACATTTAACATCTTCCTGTTCTGATTGTCACAAGACTATATCTAATTATCTATCATCAAGTAGACCATACAGACAACTACTAAATGCACATAAAAAATGTTAAACACAAGAAACAAACAAAGTTTGAGACATACTGAAATTCCCCCAATCATGTGGTTCTCAAACCATTTATAACTTAACCAAATTCCAGCTAAGCAAGCATCATTAGTTGGAGATAAGTCACACATAGACCAAAATAGAAGGATATGATAGATCTATCCTTTTTTGAAAGTGCTCCTACATCCACTTTCTATTCAGGTTGTTAACTCTAGATATGTGTTCTGGTGGATTTCCATACAGTCTAGAGAATATATTACTACCATGTACCTGTCTGCTTCATCTGTCCATAAGATCCTTTTTTTACGTGTTGGCTTCATTTTTGGAAAGGCATACTGGCTAATTAAGGAATGACACTCCTCATCTTCTTCATGTGACCCTAGCTTATTTACAGGTTCAACATGATCAGCTTCCTGATATGCTTGGAAGACATCAGGTCCCACTGAAGAAGCTAAAGAATCATATTCTTTTAGAGTGAATCCATCAATGCCAGCACGTAGTGTCGCAACCTCCTGTTCGTCCAATTGTATGGTTCTTGCGTCAACTGTTATACTCTCTATCGATTCCACCTTTGAAGATTTCTTTCTTTTCCGAGAAGATGACTGTTGATTTCTTTCTAATTGATGCTGCTCCTCATTGCTATTTGGAACACCCCGAAATCTATTAAGACGTTTTTGGTTCTTATCATAATACACACGAAGCACCTGTAAATAGAAAATAAATTGTTTAAAGCAAACAAATAGTTATAACTGATTGGTCACAAGGCAAATAACATTAAGCAAAATATAATTCTAACCTGCTCTAAGGTCAGATTAAGATCCTTTGCAATCTTTTCGCAGTCTTTATATGAAAGTTTTTCATTTAAATTATCCTTCATGATTCGCTTTAGGAGCTCAGCACGCTGATCAGCTGTCATTACTCGAACTGAGGCCCATGATCGATTAAGAAAAACCTGCAATAACCACTTTTCTGAGAGAGCTTTTATACATTTCACATAGCAGGCTATTACAATGGATATAGGTGCAAGCAACAGTGAATATAACTTACAAAAAAACACACACAGGCACAGAAAAGTTATTAAACCAAAGGCTAATAGCCTATGGCAGCAATTTTTATTTTGATACATCGGAGGTCGCAGCGTGGGAATAGGGAAATGAGTTGCAGGTGCTGAGATTTGAACTCCAGACCTGCTGTTGCCACCTCTTAAGAATGGCTACATGAACCACCTGAACTAAGCTCCGTGTTCAATATGCCAGCAATTTACCTAAGCTTATAAATAGGAATTCTTAATCATCCACAAAAAGTAATAGAAACAGACTAATACCTAAAGTGACAGCTGAACTTAGCATCACAACAACTTGGTATTATCATTGTAAATTTTTAAAATGAGTTGGAGCCTAATCTAATTTCGTAAGAATCCCATCCACACTCCCTATTTTTTCAAATTTTCTTTTATGGACTATATCTCCTATTTTTACAATCCATTCTTACAACTAAAATTATAAAATATCAATTTTTATTTTATTTTTTCAATTATCAACCACACCTGTGCCATGAATTTTTAGTCTAGACATTTCAGTCTGGTGCATACCTCATGAACAGCAGATCCAGGGAATGCATGCAAGGCAGCTCTCGGATCAGCAGCTGCATAACAATATTCTAAAGTTTTCCAATAGTCATCGACAGCTTCTCTATTAGACAAGATGAAATCATGCCTAATTCTTGGACGAAGATCAAGAGATCTAAAAGTAGATGCAGCAACCAATGACAGTGGTTCCTCTATGTAAGGTTTAAGCTCCATAGCATGGGTCAAATTGGCATGTGGTACCTTTACTATGTTATTTGAACATTCATCAGGTACCAGCCGAATCAACTACATCATCAAATAAATTGTCAGCCAAAGTAATAGTAATATATGATACAGGAGTATAGAGAGAAATTAATCAAAAAGAATCTATACTGAACTAACTATTCTAATTTAAGAAACATACCAACAACAAGTATGCACCTCTAGAAACTGTCTTAATTTTGTCCATCAGTTATCTTTATAGGAAGACATTAAGTACTGTTAGCATGCTCTAACAGTATTTCACATTTTACCAATATATTATTGGAATGTATTCTATCTTCTGTCTTTTCCAGCAACTAAATTAAAAATGGATGCAACTTATCAAGTGAATTTAAATTCACATAAGACTGCTCGGAATTATATGTCAGCATGAATCTTTTATATATGAACAGTTTCAAATCTGAATTCTGCTAATGCCTATCAAATTTTGCTATCATTATATTCTTAATAACCTACACTCACATGGACAACTACCATGGAAGAAGACATGAAAAAAAAGGCAATTCCTCAAGCACATATTCAACCAATATAACATTAAACCACATACAATTTTATTGGATTAAAAAAAAAAAAAAAGGCAATGACTACAAGAGAAAGGCATTCTTTGAGAGCAGCTACCATCGTATTTTTTATATAAGGCAATAAAATATTAAGCCTTGTTCATCTAAAAATCAAATGCTAAAGTTTAAATTCAGTGGAGGATCAATAATTTAAAACAGCCATCATTGTCTTGCAACAATGCCACTAAGATGTCAACTACATGATTGGATAGAATACAACCCAGATTATTCATGTTCTAAAACAGCAGCAGATGCATGATCTCCAAAGAGAAAGTATGGTGAACAACATTAATGAAGGAAATACACAAAAGTTTCCTGACGAATGAAATATTCTTGCATAATTAACCTACTGCAAACCTAGCCAAGTAACTGTACCTTCAAGCGCCGTAGGATGTCAATGAGCAATGAAAGTCTTCCAGTTGCCTGAGTATCCATTAGAAGCTTATACTCTTGAATGGGAAGATCAGAAAGACAAAAGCCTTTCTTACACTTCTCAATCATATCATCAAAGTTTAGAGTAGTTCCCACAACTTGCAAGAAAAGTTCAAGTGGAATGGCCTTGATGGCTGCTTCCAGTGAAAATAAAATGCATGAGCCATGAAGATTGTTCTGGTCGTGCAGGTGTTTCTCAAGCGATAAAGCATCATCCCAACCATGTGAACTACTCAAGAAACCCCACAAAAACCCATGTAGCAGCTTTGAGCGTACCATTTTTGCCATTACAAAACCATTAGCACGCATGGCTTCTGATTTAGTAGCTTTGGCATCAGAAACATGGCTCTGAGTTCTCTGGACACCATCTAATACAGGAACTGGATCACTGTTTTTCAACTTCGATGATCCACGGCCACGAATTTGCATTTCAAATGATCTCAATCTGTCATGAATTTCACTCAGCAACTCTGGATTTAAAGCTTCAACAGATGGGTGCAGAACCACCTGGGTAATACGGCTTCGCCCACAATTTGTGACAACAGGCACATTAATGTGCATGCATTTGCAGTGTCCTTGTTGCTGAAGCTTCTTTAACATTCGATCAACTGTCTTCCTGTCCATTTTTGTGCTCTTGTCCTTCTCAAGTTCCACAAGCCATCGATACAATTCAGGTCTTAAAATGAACTTCTCATCCTGCAAAAGAAAACTAGAATAATGTTGTATCTCTAGAATTATTGTTATAAGATAGGAAACAAGGTTATAATCCCAAAATGAGTCTTCAGTCAAGTGCTTGGCATAAAAGAAAATACCTTTAAACGTTCGAGTATCCTCTGCTCCCTTCGAGCACCATCAGCAGTCAGAACTTGAGTTGAATATGTCTGATATGAGCCAGAACCAGGAGGTTTCAACACATTAAGACCTGTAGGTTCTGGTGGAGGAGCATTTATTTCACTTTCTCTAGTAGCTAAATCAAGTTCTGCATCATGACCAGTATTACTTCGTTCAGTTTGAAATTTTTGTATGCCGTCAGAATATAGAACTATATGGTTAGTTTCTCCAGGGGAGCCACAAGAAATATCAGTATCATTTTCCATATCATTCACATTCACAGGAGTAGAAAAACCGCCTGCAGAAGTTGAGGGATCGTATTCTAGAAAGTTTTGGTTCAATCCATTAGGAACTTCTGAATTGCCAACATCAAGATTAGAAGTCTCATTTTCATCATCGGCATTTTTTGATTTAATGAAAAATGCATTTGATGATTTAGGATTAGCATTCCCAGATGTCCAAACTCGATATGCTGTAGTCTTTTTATGGTTTTCAGCTTGCAGGTGCATCCCAAACCTAGAGAACATGTTAAAGAATCGAGAATAGCTCCTTTTCTTATCAATTCCAAGCCTCTCACACACCTGCTCATACCACATATGAACATGAAAAGTTACCAGTTTGGATACAAAAGACATGCTTTTGCAGGGATGCTACATGCAAAACCAGCCATTGAAAAGGCACAGATAAGTAAAAGGGTAAAAGTACAAAAAAATATGATTAACGCATAAAAAGCAGGCCAATCAAAACCTAAAATAAGTATAAAATAGATAATTATTGCTATCTACCAATTACAGCATTATTCAGGCATGCATCAGTACATTAAAATCAGTGAGCATTTAGGCATTGAGAGTGCCCGGAAGTCAATAGTTCATCTTTTACTTCATTGGGACAAATGAGCGTAAAGTACTGGCCGCAAGCAAATACATGTCATGCATAATATATGTGCATTTCAAGCGATTTAAATCATCCATCTATCATTGAACGTGAAAATACTACAATTAAATTGAGGCAATGCTAAAGCTGATCAATATCATCATTCCCTGATGGAAGACAGAGTCTTGATATAGTTGGACTAGGTGACAACCATAAATTCAAGTGAATATCTTCAACTAAGGCTGCAAAAAGAACAAACTGTAAGAATTGCTAAGACTTGATTGAATAAAAAGCTTGCTCGTGCTTTTTTTACTCCATTAACACCTTGCAGTACATATTCAAATTCAGGAATCATTTTTGTTAAAGCATTAATGCATAATTAGTAAATATCTAGAGGCCTTGATTTACACTTGAAGACACAGTCTTAAGTTTACAATAAATTACTGAGGAAATATCTAAAAAAAACACAGTATCATAACCATTAAGATCAAAACCATTATAATAAAACAAAGCCAAGAAAATAAATGCACACACCGTCATAACAGGTAAACCCTCAGATCCTTCAGCATCAACCATATCATAAATTTGAGTATCAATGGAAAGCTCTACAATTTGGTCAACTTTAGGAATTGTCCTTCCAAACTTCAGCAGTTGTCCTTTGTCAAGATGATCATCACATCCAAGAAGTTTTGGCTCAAATTTCTTTTCAGAAAACCTTTTCACCAACCGTAGGCAAAGTTCAACCTGAAGAAATTAGAAACATTTCACAATGTGGGAAAACACTTATTTACAGCTGGTTGTAATCTTGTAATCTGTATATTTATATTTGTATCTCTAGAATTAAGTATTTGTATCCCTAGAATTAAGGAAGATTTAGTTTCCTAGTTTAACCCCTAGTTAGTTGTATATAAACCTAAGATTCTTGTATAATTCAAAATAAGCAGTTTTTCAATATACATTCAGTTTTCACATGGTATCAGAGCTTTAGGCTCTTCTTGGGAAGCAAAATTTTCAGCCTTCATTGCTGACTTTTTTAGGCCTTCATTGCCGAATCCTGTTTAGGCCTTCATTGCCGAACCCTTTCAAAGAAAGATATCACTATCACCCAATTTGAGGAAATGTTAACTGGAAAAATCACTGGAATACTACAGATGTCTCAGAAACAAGGAGAGTTCAACAGGGAAGAGATTGAAAAGCTGAGAAACTTATTGAAAATCCTTGAAAAGCCTACTATGGTATGTTCTTTGGGTAAAGTTTCTAGTTCAAGTAAAGCTTTCAGTTCTCATGGATTAAATGTCTCGGCTAAGCCTATTACGAGTTCTTGGGTCATTGACTCAGGAGCCACAGACCACATGACACATTCCCCACAAAAGTTTAGTACATATAACCTGTGTCCTAGTAATAAGAAAATTGTTGTTGCTGATGGTTCACTTACCACAGTGGCAAGATTAGGAGATGTTCAAGTTAATCCCTCGTTTGTTCTCAAAAATGTTCTTCATGTTCCAGGATTGTCTACTAATCTGATATCTATACAAAAACTTACTAGAGATATGAATTGCAAAGTAACTTTTTATCCCTTTTATTGTGAATTTCAGGACCAGAGTTCGGGGAAGATGATTGGACTTGCTAAGGAGAATGATGGACTATACTATCTTGAGACATCAAATAACACAAGTAGTATCAAAAATAGTTTACCTTTGTCATTTCTTTCTGAAAAATCTTACAATAAAGACAAAATATGGCTTTATCATTTTCGTCTTGGACATCCTTCTTCTGGAACCTTGAGAAACATGTTTCCTTCTTTGTTCAAAGAATTAAATGTTGAAGATTTTCATTGTGATATTTGCGAATTTGCAAAACATAGACGTGTGTCTTTTCCAATCAGTAACAAAGAAGTTCTACTCCCTTTTACTTGATTCATAGTGACATTTGGGATCCCTCTACAATTCCTAATATTTCTGGTGCAAGATGGTTTGTTTCATTCATAGATGATTGTACTAGGGTCTCTTGGGTTTTTTTACTTAAATCCAAATCAGATGTGAATAGTGTGTTTTTAAGCTTCCAAAACATGATCCAAAATCAATTTGGAGTAAGAATCAAGAGATTTAGGTCTGATAATGCAAGAGACTACGTCAACCAGAGTCTATCCACCTATTTCCAAAAAGAGGGGATTATTCATGAGTCATCTTGTGTTAATACTCCACAGCAGAATGGAGTGACAGAGAGAAAAAACAACCATTTACTAGCCACAACCTGAGCATTTCTTTTTCAAGCAAATGTACCTAAATCTTATTGGGGGGAAGCTGTTCTCACTGCCACACACATTACAAATAGGTTACCTTCAAAAGTTTTGGGATTTAAAACTCCTATGGAACTACTCTCACAATTTTATCCCAACCTCAATGCCACAAACAATCTCACACCTAGGATATTTGGTTGTACATCATTTGTTCATGTTCACAGTCATAACAGGGGAAAGTTGGATCCAAGAGCGATTAAGTGTATTTTTGTGCGGTATTCTTCAACTCAAAAAGGATATAAGTGCTATCATCCTCCTACCAAAAAATTTTATGTGTTTGCAGATGTCACTTTTGAAGAAAATAAACCATTTTTTACTCAACCTTATCTTCAAGGGGAGACTTCATTAATGGAAGATAAAGATAAAGACTTCTTTTTGCTTGATTTGCCCCCTTCTTCAACATTTACACCCATTAATTCTTCTGAGTCGAAACCTGTTTCTGCTGAGCCCAAGTCAAACACTGAATTTGAGTCTGAACCCATTCCAAATACAAAAGATGTGACAAAGGATAATATTGTTCTTGATTCTATGAAGGAATTACAGGTGTACTCAAGAAGAAAATTCCAAATCCTGAACCAGTGCTAGTCCAAGAACCTGATCCTAACTCTGAAAATGAGGTAACTACAGTTTTTGACTTTGTTTCTCAAAATGAGCATGAATCTCCTAAAACTATAACTAGTGATTACGATTTGCCTATTGCCATTAGGAAAGGAACCAGAGAATGTACCAAGCATCCACTATACCCAATATCTAATTTTGTGTCATTTGAAAAATTCTCACCATCCCACAAAAATTTTCTTGTGAGCCTAAACACTATTTCTGTTCCAACTACATTATCCGAGGCATTATCCAGTGAGAAATGGAGGCAAGCCATGAAAATAGAAATGGAGGCCTTAGAGAAAAATCAAACATGGGAACTAGTAGAGTTGCCTAAAGGAAAAAATCCAGTGGGGTGTAAATGGGTTTTCACTGTAAAATACAAAGCAGATGGTACTGTTGAAAGGTATAAAGCCAGGTTAGTGGCTAAGGGCTACACTCAAACCTATGGAGTGGATTACCAGGAAACCTTTGCTCCAGTTGCCAAGATGAATACAGTTAGGATTTTGTTATCATTGGCTGCAAATTACAATTGGCAGCTTCAACAATTTGATGTAAAGAATGCTTTTTTACATGGTGATTTGGAAGAAGAAATATATATGAAGGTTCCACCGGGATTTGGAGGTCATCTAGAAGCAAACAAAGTATGCAGGCTAAAAAAGGCTTTATATGGCCTTAAACAGTCTCCTAGAGCTTGGTTCGGGAGATTTGCCAAAGTGATGCTAGCAATGGGATATAAACAGAGTCAAGGAGATCACACATTGTTTATCAAGCACTCTGATTCACGGAGAGTCACAGTTCTATTAGTGTATGTTGATGATATAATTGTAACTGAAGATGATGAAAAAGAGAGAGAATCTCTAAAACAGTGTTTGGCTAGAGAATTTTTGATAAAAGAGCTAGGGAGATTGAAGTACTTCCTAGGAATTGAAGTAGCTCACTCACGGCATGGTATTTTTATCTTACAACAGAAATATGTGATGGATCTTCTGAGGAAACTGGGAAGCTTGCATGTAAACCTGCAAATACCCCTATAGATCCTAATCATAAAATTGGAGAAGCTAATGACGATGCTGCTGTAAATAGAGAGATGTACCAAAGATTAGTTGGAAGACTCATTTATCTCTCACATACTAGACTTGATATAGCATATGCTGTGAGTGTGGTAAGTCAATTTATGCATAGTCCTAAAGAAGTGCACCTACAGGCTGTCTACCGTATATTGCACTATTTGAAGGCCAATCTTGGAAGAGGTATCTTATTCAAAAGAAATTCGGGGTTAATTCTAGAAACATATACAGATGCTGATTATGCAGGTTCAGTAACTGATAGAAGGTCCACCTCAGGCTACTGCACTTTCTTAGGTGGTAATCTTGTGACTTGGAGTAAAAAACAGAATGTGGTAGCAAGATCAAATGCTGAAGCAGAGTTCAGAGCAATGGCTCAAGGAATTTGTGAACTACTATGGTTAAAGATTATCCTAGAAGACTTGAAGATCAAGTGGGATGGACCAATGAGACTCTACTGTGATAACAAGTCTGCAATAAGCATTGCACACAATCCTGTGCAACATGATAGAACAAAACACATTGAAGTAGACCGGCATTTCATAAAAGAGAAACTAGACAGTGGGTTGATTTGTACACCTTATGTATCAACCAAAGGTCAACTTGTAGATGTGTTGACTAAAGGTCTCAGCAGTGCAACATTTCAAGAAATTATTTCCAAGCTGGGAATGGAAAACACCTATTCACCAGCGTGGAGTGTGGGAAAACACTTATTTACAGCTGGTTGTAATCTTGTAATCTGTATATTTATATTTGTATCTCTAGAATTAAGTATTTGTATCCCTAGAATTAAGGAAGATTTAGTTTCCTAGTTTAACCCCTAGTTAGTTGTATATAAACCTAAGATTCTTGTATAATTTAAAATAAGCAGTTTTTCAATATACATTCAGTTTCCACACACAACATAAGCAAGCACTTACATAGTGCAGAAGCACACAGAATTTTGTCCATATAATATAATCTAGAATGTTTTACATGATCTTATATGGTATAATTGACTGCAAGCACCTGTATTGGCAATATTGGCCTAGAAAGAATGACCAAAGGCATGAAAACGTTGCATTAATTTCAAACAAAAGAGATCTTACATTGTGTATCAAAGGGAAAAAAAATTCTTAAGAAAAGATGCCCATCCTTGTTCACTTAGTTTGTGCTTACTATGGCTTACAACATCGATTAATTTCCACTAATTATTCAAAAGTTACAAAGTTATAGAAGGTTAAAAAATTAACCACAAAGTTAGAATAAAGATATAAAAAGGAATAGAAGGATAAACAATTAGAATATCAGCTAAATTAGGGACTATATATAAACAGGAATAGAAGGTTTAAAAATAAAATAAAATAAGCACAAAGTTGTAGTAAAGAAGGATTCCGAAGCTCCTCATCTACTAGAGAATAGAGCCAAAGGATTCATTCAACTAACTGCCTTAAATTCAGGTTTAAAACTTAGATGAGTCAAGCTGAGTATGATTTGACAATATTAGACAAACTTTAACAAAGAAAAAGAAGAGAGAGAGAGAGGGAAAGAAGAGTTTGCTAGAAAAGCTTATTACAAATCCTAACAAGGTGTAAACCCATCAACACAACATTTTTCTTAGGTCAAGGTAAAAGAAGAAAAAGTAAATGTGAAGTCTTGCAAGAACTAAGAACTATATCTTTACATCACCTTTTTGTTCACAACAGCGTGTAAATCCTCAACAAGACCAGCATCTTTTAACCTGCGGTAGATCTGAGAACATATATGCAGGACATGGTATGTGGAAGACAAATCCAAAAACCATTAAAGAAAAGCAAATTATGGACTAGATAAAAATTACAATGACCCCCCTTTTGGTTCCTTGGAGAGAGAGAGAGAGAATGAAGAAGTGAAGATAGCAGTCTTACATTTCTCCAGGCTTTGTGGCCTGAGGATCTTGTATAACCCAAGTCTCGTTTAATATCTGAAACAACAAGAACCTTCAATAGAAGGAGAATCAGCATAATGGCATAACATCAAATCCATGAATCTAACAACATTCTGAATATAATTGACCTTTCCATTCGCTTCTTCAAGTTTATCACAAACAGCTTTCATTGCGGGTAGATAATCATTCACGAAAATGTTCTCTTTAACATTTTCTAAAGCAAAACCATCATCATCTGGAACATTTTCATCGTCGTACCCAAGACTTTCCACAGTTTGTTCTTCTTTATTAATCTCAAATCTCTGTTGAGAGCCCAAACGCTTTGCATATCGATATAAGTATATCAAATTGGTGGTCACAGGTGAAATGTTTTTGGACTCCCCTTCGGTGCAAGTTTCTTTCTTCCTAATAACTGCCGGTTGCTTCACAATCAACCCTCTGCATTCAAGGTTCTTCAAAATATAAAAGAAGTTCTTCCCTTCAATTCCAAATTCCTTTGCAAGCTGACTTTGTGTCACTCCATTTGTTCTGCAAGTACAATCTGTTAATAACCTGTTTCGGTCTAACATCGCAAAATGTTGTGGTTTCAAAAAAGAAGACAATGAAACTTAAGCTTTCACTAACCAAACTAATCATATCATAATTATTCTCTAACTGCACAATAATAAACCCTAATTCAATAACACTTTGTCGTGTCCACGGAAAGTATATATGTCTGTCCATCTCCGTCAGTTACCAGCCTTCCAGTCTTTTGATCAATTTTCTCACGCTGTATTAACCCATTAATCCATAAATCATATGCAAATACATGAGCCTCAAGTTTCATCAAAATAAAAAGATGAATTCGCTTCAAATAGTATTACTTTTAACTATCAGAACAATCATCTATGAATATGATAATAAATCACGTCGTTAATATGATTGCAATGCCCTGAATTTCGAATTCCTCAAGGATTAATCAGAACAATCCGCCTAAGCTATAAGTTTGGCTTACACATTTAAAAGACAAAAGTTCTCTTAATAATTCAGTAATAAATAAATAAATGCGCGCCATTTGCAAAATTGCATCACAAAACAACACGGGTAACTTTATCAAACTAGAAAAAGCAAATTAGATAATCAAAGAAACCAAACCTAGCGATAGCGAGTCTCTCAAGAGTGCGACGTTGTTGCGAGGAAATTTGAACATTTTCATCATAAAGTCCAACGAAATTATTTCTAAGCTTTTCATCGGCAAAGATTTTTACGTCGAGTTTCTCCGCATCATCAGCGCATTGAATCGAGTCATCGCTGGGGCTAAGAAACTCGGCGTTTCGTGGCTTGAACCGAAGAGAGGGGATGGAGAGTAGGCTTTGCCAAAGGGAGGATTTGAGAGGAGGATGGATGTCGAGTTTCGAGCAGAGAGAGGAAAGAGAAATACCTACTTGGCCATGGAAGCAGATTTCCTCGAGAGCTGAGGAGATGATCGAGTCCATTTTGGTCTACGACGGCATCAGTTCCATCAAATCTTTTAAAAATTTTCGTCCGTTGAGAGCGAAATTTTGAAAAGCGAGGTTGCTTTGAAATCTCGGAAGACGAGAAGACTTTTTCTTCACGTGGATAAAAGATAAATAAGAAGAGACTAGAAAAACCACCGTTAACTTGCGGCACTGTTAGCCGGAGACGGCGCGCAAGAGGGGAGTTCAGACGGAGGGACACGGGGATAGAAAAGGAAATAGGATAAAAAGAAAGATCCCGAAAAACGAAGGGGGCAGGCCGGCCCAGATCAGTCGGTAGCGAGCTTGGTCCTGAATGAATAATTGGTCTTCTAATCAGACTGTCCATCTTCTTTTGACTGAACTTTGTTGGGCCTAAATATTGGATTGCTAAGCCCAGACCTGTTAATACACTTAAAATACCCTAAACCCTAATTTCATTTTCAAACTCTTTCATTTCTTTTTTAGGAGAAAAGAAGCTTGAAATTTAACCAAAATACATCAACTTATAGCAGAAAAGATAGCTATTTACTGTTCAGAAAACAAAATTGGCTGAAATGGATATTGAAAATTCGAAACGAGAATTACTTGTTCACCGAAAAGAGCCTCGCTTCTTGCTTATGCTTAACTTCTTGGTTGAGTACTAATTTTACCTAGCAGTCTAGTAGTCTAGCACTCCAGTTTTTTCTTTTTCGTTTTGCCTTTTCAGGTGATGTCGTTTTCGTAAATATTCTAGATTTGAGTTTGATGTAAGTTGGAAGCTGTGAGACGCGAGAGTGAGAGAGAGATAATAAAGACATTTTTTTTTTAGAATTTTTGGATTTTGTTATCGGTGAATAGGACAATAATCTAAATTTAAAATAATAAAAAATATATATTACTAATATTTTAATGAAAAATCCTAACTCTTTTCATACCAGTCCACAAATTACTCCACACCCAGGCCTCTACTTCCAATAACAAATTAAGTAATTATTTACTTATTAAAAAGGAAAATGCGTAATATTTTTATTTAATTTCTAATAGTGAGATTGTTAAATTTTTTATTTTTTTTTCTGGCCAGAATGTTAGATTTTTTTATTTAAAAATATAATTATTTTAATTTTAATTTATTTAAAAACTATGCCATTATATCTACTAAAAATAATATTGGACAATAAAATTAAGAACAAACTAGCAAATTATGTGTTGGTATATGGTAATTTCTAATAACCCACTGCACGACATATCCAACGGCTCTTCAACCCTCTGAAATCTAAACGAGCGGTGAAGATGAAGCCTGGAAGAACTCCAAGAATCCGCATCCCCAGGAAAAGAGGTCTGACCAATCTCACAGGATATAAAACCTCAGCGTCCCAAAACAGACGCAACAAAGGGATGAACGAAACCAAGCGAAAAAAATAAGTACTGCAGCAGGTGAAGTAAACGAGCAGAGGACTAGGTAAAGAAAAAAGAAAAGAACCAAAACAAAAAAAAGAAATATCTCTGGCTTTGGCTGGTCTTTTCTTGGAAACTTTATAGGGACAAAGAAAACACAGAGAGAAACCACAACAACAACTACAACGTTGTAATTGTGTCTCTCTAAGCTGTCTCTCTAAGCGTGTCAATCAAATCTTTTCTTCCTATATTCTCTCTTTCTCTTTCTTTGCTGGTTTCACCTTCATAATTTCAGGCCCTCTCTATTGAATCCAATCTATTTCTCTTTCTCTGCCAATAACCAGAAGCAATAGAAGATTCCATTCCAATCTTTTTAAAACTACTCATATCTTCTTTTTCTTTTTCTTGAACAAATATAAATCAAAATCCCATATTTTTCTGGGAAAGAGGGTCGAATTCTGCTACCTTTCTCCCTGTCTTGCTGTTTCAAGGTAAGACATGGAAAATGCATATCAACCCAGATTTTATTTTACCATATTTGTGTTGTTTTGATGGTAATTAAGGTAATTGATCTTGTTTTTGTTGATATACTATATATTTCCTGCTTTTAAGTTGTCATTTATTTTTTTTGTTTTCAATGTTTTGAGGGATATGGTTATCTCTTTATAACTTTGAAACAACATCAAAACGAAAATTACTTCCTAGTTTCTTCCCCTTCCCTAATTTACAACAAGATTTGTTTTTCTTTCCTTGGTCTCTTATTCTTTTTAATAATGTCTTTTTTGATTCAGGTGAATGATTTTGTGGGGGTCTCTCAAAATGAGATTTTTTTTTTTTTGAGAATATAATAGGAAAAAAAGCTGCTTTTATTGGCCAAGGAGTCTGGTTTTATATTATATATATATATATTGTCTCTTCTGCACACACTCACAGTCCTCTGCTCGGTTGCTGAGGAAAGGTGGAGAAAGGAAAAGGAAAATCTTTTAGCACTGATTTTATCCAAGCCAGACTGTTAAACTCTTTGACTTAGCTAACTTTGGTGAGATTTTCTGCCTCCCATAATCCAAATTGAAAGGTTTTGGTGTTAAAATCTTTTTGTTTTTCTTTCTTTTGTATTCATTTTCTTCAGCAAACAAATAGAGGTTAGATTGTTCATGCCTTCACTATGTATTGTCTTATAATAATTTTGTCTTTTAGAAGTACTAATAGAAATGAGATAAAACAATGATGAGTGCCATCAAAACCTTTAGCCATTTCTCTTTCCTAATTTAGATGTGCACTGTTGTTGTTGCAGGACTAAGTCTGGTTTTGATTGAAGTGAAGTAACTTTGGAATGGATGGTGATATATTTTCAGGATTCAGTAATGGAACTCAAGTAGATGGCAAGGTTTTGCAGACATTTCAAAAGAGTTTTGTGCAAGTTCAAGACATCCTAGATCAAAATAGGTTGTTAATCAACGAGATTAGCCAAAACCATGAGTCAAAGATCCCTGACAACTTGAGCAGGAACGTGGGATTAATTAAAGAGTTGAATAACAATATTAGAAGAGTAGTTGATCTCTATGCTGATCTCTCAAGCTCTTTCACCAGGTCAATGGAGGCTTCATCAGAAGGTGATTCAGCTGGGACATTCAAATCTGATGGAAAGGCTAGTCAGAAGAGAATTAGACCTGGGTAAATTTGATCAAATTCAGCTTTTGGTATAATTCTGTTCACTTTCACTGTGGAATAAGAGGAGTATTTTGATACTGATGTGAAAAAAAAAATGATTGTAATCTGTAACTCTTTCAATGAAAGTGTGAAATGTATCTGAGGTTTTGAAGCATCAGCATAATCCTCAGTCCTCACCTTTTCCATTGAAATAACATCGTAGAAATTTACCATTTGTTATCATGTATAACTATGCTATCTTGTTGAAATCAAGTATTTTCTTGTTTTAACATCTGTAAATTCTGGCAGGTTTCTGAGGATTTGTTTTTCACTTTATGCTAGATGTACCTTTTTTTTATTAACGAGTACAGGGTTATCTTATCTATACTTAGTCTGCATCTTTAATTATTGTTTAATGGACCCGGGGTGAGTGCTTAACTGTCATTAAAAACAGTTTTGAAACATTTTCAGTTCCACTGATCTTTTTATTTTCATTTATTAAGAGAGTTGATCTACCTTTGATGGGAACTTTCAACAACCCCACTTTATTCTTTTCCTATGTTTGTCAAAAGAGATTCCTGATTGTGCCTTGTAGATTGCGGTGAAGGGTTGGTATATACTGGTTTTATAACCCATAGATTGCAGGTTCTTTAAGTTTAGAAGCTCCTGTTCTTGATTCTCTCAGCTGTGTGTCTCTGTGGGGAACTGAGTAAAATACTGACATAAACTTCTGCAATGATCTTGAGAATTATTTGCCTTTTTGGGTTGAAGATGCTGTGGGACAAATTGCAGAAAGCAGCTTTAGCTTTGAGTTATTTCAACTTGTTTTGATTGAAACACCCTAAATTTCAAATTGGAGATCATAACTGTCCTTTTGACTAATATATTGTCCTAATCAATGGCAATCACTTGGGAGTCTTAGGCATCTTTTCCTTTGAGAAAAAAAGATAAGCTGAAAGGAAAATTAAGTCTCAATAATAGAGAAGATTCCACCCGAGGTAGTTTAAAAGAAAGCACCAGGGCTTATAGAATGTAAAAGATATCCATACAAAAATGCCAGTGTCCAGTGGTTACTTGATTTCCTTTTTCCAAGGTTCTGATGGCATATTTTACATTGCATTTTTATGACGTCATTAAAGTTTCAATTTCTCCCACTTCTATCGACAAACACAGGCAAGGTGGTAGAACAAACACTTTTGTTAGTGGACCCCTTGACTTTTGTTTCATTTTCTAGATTTGGGTGGAAGACCCAAGTGAATGTTTTGCTGTGATTAGCTAGTTTCTTGTTTAAATTTTGAACATTGTTGCCTATAAAAAAATAAAAGGAAGAAATGAACATTGTTGACATGGAAATCACTCCAATTATTGTAACAGCTCAAATGAAGTGAAATCTTTGTAAATCAAAACAAATGAGATTATCCCAACGCTTTGATTGTGGGCTCTGTTGTACTAAGGTTAAGGACTTAAATTTTAATCCTTGGATATTAGCTAGAGCTTTGTCCTGCCTGCTAGCTTTTTCTACATATATAATTGAACTTACATTCATTTTCCAGGCAATCAATGCAGGCAAATGTGAAACCTCTTTTCTGGCTTCTACAGGAAGTTCCCCCAGCTCAATAGCTCACACAGTAAAAGCAGATTGCATTTGCTTTTGTTTAATAAGGTGATCATTAAAGATTTTAGATCAGTTAATAGGTTTTGATCAATTATGCTTTATGACAGCAAGGACAAAATCAGACAGCAATGTCTGAAACATGTGATCAGACTAGATAATCTACTACTTATTTAATTAGCTCCTTCCTCCTTGCACTTTCTTCATCTGGATTGGCATAACAATGATGCCACTTCAGCCTTTGATCCATTTTAAAAGGGTTTTAAGATAGTGGATCACAGATATGTTAAACTTTGTCACATACTGAACAATAATTTAATACCTGTAACAACTATATTAAAAAGATTAGGCTGATAAGCACCATCTGTCAGTTTCATCAGGCTAGTAATCCAATTGAGTACTTAGTTTCAACTTTTGTGGCTGCCATGCCGATGAAATTATTTATTAAAATAATTGCCTATAGCAACTGCAATGCGTGCCTCCCACCGTGAATCACGTTCTGTGGCAAGATAATGCATCGGATTGTTTGTAGTGAATTAAAAAAAAAATTAAAACGCAGGATTTAAATCAATCATTTTAAAAAATAATATTTAAATTTAGATTAAAATCTCAATCCAAAAATTTTTTTTATCCCCAAACATATGATCTACAAACTCCTTTGTAAATATAAGAAAGATTACGTTGTTGGAATGATTAAAAAGAGTTCATTTAGCTGACTTCTTGTACATAAAATATGATATTAAACGTTTAATTCTACATAGGATTCACCTAGAAGAGAGAAAAAGAGGGAAAGAAAAAGGAATGATGGCATATATGAGGTCATTTTTGTAGAAAAGAAAAAGCAAATGACGCAATTATGGGAAATCTAAGATGGGGGGAGAGAGGAGGTTTTAAGATTAAAGATTTTTGGTTTTTAAAAAGCTATGCATGCTCTCCACTTGAAGTGGAGGAATCAGACAATAAAGCATGTAAAGATTGTGTCCGTACTCCAATGTATCCATCTATATTTCTGTTCTCTTCTATTTTTTTATTCATTTATTGAAAAAAAAATCTATTACACTAAAAGAGTTCATTTTTCTTTTTTGTTGAATGTTAAAGGAGATGGTGGGAAGAAGAATGATACTTTTATTATGTTCAAGCAAAAGATGCTGATTCCCACATTGACTCTAACACACTGAAAATTCCAAAGGTATTTTCATGCCTAAAATCATATCCATGGCTTCCCCAGCATCTTACAGGCAATTTTTATTTCCAACAACGAAGCACCTAACCAATATGATTCAAAGCCATTTTTACTCATGCAACAACTGCTCGCATACGAACTCTCTGCTTTTTAAACATTCCCACGAAAACTCTTATGTATACTCTTTTGCTTTAAATCATACGGCGGCTTTCATTACTTTCCGGCACAGTAAAAATTCAGAATTGGCATTCATACTGGTATGCAACGCAAATTACCATGTAAATTTGCAGTATAACAACTTCAACGCAAACTTTTTGCAATCCAAATGCATGAAAACAAATTTACTGATAACCAACTTACTGAACGCATAATAGGAAAAAAAAATCAAAACAAACAAATGGGTGCACTTTTTGTTTTGCTTGAGTGTAGTCATCGCAGCTACAGCCTACAGCTCCGTTTTTTCCATCAATCTAGTCAAACACTCTTTCCAATCTGAAACCTTCTCTCCTCCATTGACAACCTATTTTCGCACAAAAAAATTGAACACATCAATAACTTGGATACCAATTGAGACCAAAGCCCAAAGGATCAAAAGAAAAGGACAAATGACAAAGAGAAAGGTGGTTTGAAATTTAAATGTTTCTGCATAAATAATTACTTATTCCATTGCTTTTCTTGCATTGCCTTTTGAACGGTTCCACCACACGTTACACAGATATTCTTTGTTCCCACTTCAATTCAGACATCATTTTGTTGATGAGTACCTTTTTTATCAAGTCTTTTTTCTCTTGTTTTTAAGGAATTTATAACTTAACTACTCTTGAAAGCAAAGCTAGAATCTTTGCATTTGAAAGAGCAGCTTGTAGATGAGTGACAGCTAGAATCGATGAATGGCTATATATTTTAAGGATATGTTTTTTTTCTTAATAGACGGAGACATGCTTATGCACAGACCTCAAATGTGAATCTTGCTTGTGGGACTACTTCTAGTGCTTCAACACACATAGATGCAGCATCCTCCATGCTAAGACTTCCACTTGCTGCACTACCCTGTCAATGGAAGCGGATTTAGGATTGTTAGCGCTTCTGTCCGAATCTATTACAACGAAACGGCCGTTTTGTTTATGCTCTCAAATTCAGCAAACAGATTTATTCCAGTTTGCAAAAATCAAAGAATCGAAAAAAGAGTCTTCATTTAGAGATTGAAATACAGCATCTCTGAGAAATCTTTTTAGAGTCTCTTTTCTTTTAATTTGGTCAGTAATAAGAGTTGAATCCAGATACTATAAAATATTGATATTAGATTGTTTCAACTTCAACACTTGCTTCTGGATTTTCTTAAGTTTCTCAGAATTGCCTTCTTCCAGGAACAAGTTACAAAAGTAAAACGCTTAGTTGTATAAGTTAGCATTGTGAATATGCAAGAGGTGTCGCCCATGCTTTTTCCAATCACTGACTGCTGCTGTATATGTTGCTCAAATTTCTAGTTAACTGGAAGAAGAATAACGGTGAGTACTATAACGTAGCATGCTCGGCCCATTAAACTACTAAACGAATACCTCTTCAAAGTTGAAACCTTGAGTTCCTCCAGGAGTTTTTTCCAACATTCCTGCTCTAATTATGGTGTATGGGATTCCTGAAGCCACCAGTGCTGGTTCATCCTTCTCAGCTGATTTTCTTAAATCGTTTGTCATGAGAGCTTGAATGCCACTGCTAGCTCTATAAACAGACAACTGCAACCTTTGTAAACCACAATCATGTAGAAACACAGTCTAAAGCCTATTGTTTAGGCTTCCATGCAGGATGGGGAGGGGGGAGAGGGGGAGAGAGTACCTGAGACAAGAGAATTATATGTTCAACACCTTTCAAACTCTCAATACTAGACAAGAAACCTTCCTGCAAGACAAGACAAAGAAAATTTACTGAATGTTGATGGCGACGGGAGCAACAATAACAATGCTAAATCATATAATGTAATCGATGCATGCCACAAACTGTCAAAAAGAGTTTGTAATAATTCATTTTTTATTTTCTTACGGAAATGACACTTAAGCTTTTATTTTGTTTAAGTTTCTTTCAAATACGGCATGTAGAAAAGCAGTAAAGCACTAAAAGCCCAAAGCTAAAATTGGAACTTAGCAACAAGAATGACTATATTTGCCCACAATTTTCTGAATGGAGTCATGCACAAAAGTAATACAGTTACGGGTGTCCCCGAGTTTTGTTTCAGGCTAATCCTCCTGGATGATTGTAAGGGTGCACACTCTCACATGGGCCTGATGCATTCAGGATTCTAAATATGTTGATTAGGAGCAAATGTACCAGTAAGGATTGAACCAGACAGGTCAGAGATAAACATACATTCGGGCATATGATTGCACGAACTCCTCGAAGAGCTTTCTTTACAAATATCTTGTTACTTGTATCTCCAGAAATTGACTGCAAACACAACAGAACAACATTCCATAAGAAAAATGAGAAATCATTTAAATCAACGGACAGGAAACATAAATGCCAATCCAAAAAGCAATTTCACAAAAGTATAGTATATCAACTTACCTCAACATAAGTTCCAAAGGCTTCATTAGCTGTACGCTTATCCTTCACTAATGCTTTTACTCGAGTTCGTTTGACAATCAATGACAATATCACCATCTATATAAAATAGTTACAATAACCTCAAAATGAGTCAACCATTAGGGAGTCAAAAGACTATAAGAAATGTATATATCACCATCTATATAAAATAGTTACAATAACCTCAAAATGAGTCAACCATTAGGGAGTCAAAAGACTATAAGAAATGTATATATAAGAAACGAAACTTACCTGTCCAATTTCACTATCCCCATCTGTTACTAAAACTGCATCCTTGACTTCATCCTCTGAAAATTCAAGAGAATAGTTCATCATCAATTCGTCCTCTAAGAAGTGATTAAAATACTAATATCTTTCCAGTTACCATAACAAATTACCTGGATAATCCTCCTCCTCCTCTTCCAGGACAGACCCATCTTTTGGTAGTAGTTCAGGTGCCCCATACCATTTCCTTAACTTAGGACCCCCTATAAACCAATGCAACCCCAATTTAAACAAAAGCTGGAAAAAATGAATATCTAGTCTGAGCACAATGGAAAAAGAATAAGACTAAAACCTTCGATGTAATCGAGAATTTGATCCACAAATCCGATTTTCTTCTTGGCCGAGCAACGGACAAGAGCTTGCTTCTCGATATTTATGAGGAAAGAAGAATTCAGGGTTCTCCAAGGATTGGAAGTGAAAACTAGATAAGTTTGGCTAAGGAGAGTTGAAGCAGACAGACTGCCCGCCATTTTCCTTGATCGGTTCGGTCTGTTGTTTTTTCTTTTCTTGACCAACCGTTTCCATTCCCGCGTATAAGGATAACGCTTTACCTGCTGAAATTCCTTGTCTACCCCTCCCCGGTCAAACCTTTTCAATATGGACCCCACATGACCTGATTTCAATCAGAATCGTTCGGAGTCTCAAATTGGGATCGTTACCGTCCAATATTTCCCTTAAAGATATCATTCCCACCCTCAATGCCTCATTATTCTAGGGTTTTTTTCATTCGTTTCTCTGCTCTCCTGGATTGATCCGCCATGGCCACCCAGATCAGCAAAAGCGAAAGGTAAAAAAAATTTCAACTCAACCCATGTTTTCTAACAATAGCTAGTTCCAAAGGCACATTTTATTCCATGGGGCTAAGGTTACTGTCAGCATCAGTGTTACTCCTCCCTTTCCCAATAAATGATGGGTTAAAGGGGATCCTCAACGATGCTTATATTAAAATGTGGAGTTTTGTTAGTCTCTCTGAACTATTCATTCAAGTTCTTGGAGTTCGGGAACTCCTAAATTCCCATAATTGCTTTATATTTCTTTGTACGCCCACGTAGGCAAAGACACATCATATTGAAGTTTTCAATTTGAACCTTAAAATATTCAGGGCATTTTTTTTAATAGTTTCTGTTACCGCTGTTTGATTTATTGTGGAGAGTAGGGCAAAGGGATATGAGGTACGATGTATGAGCATACATTGAATTCACCACTTGGCCCTACTGGCTAGTAATGATAATAGTTTCTGCTCTTATTACATCTTCTTGAGAAGATTTTTTTTTTTTTTTGGTGTAACCTGATTCAGGTTGTTGTTAGTGGGAATTAAACTTGGGGATCAGCCTGCTAATAGTCCATGAAGCATGAAGTTTAAAAGATGGTTACATCGATTTCATTTGGTAATTTATTCAAAAGGGCCAGTTTTCTCTTTTCCTTAAGGAATGTTTTTTCTTGCTTGTTGACTATCAATTGATTTCTTAATGTATTTTCTTTTGTAATCTTTTGTAGGGTGTTGTTGGTATTATGGTGGGGATGATGGGATCCTAAGGGTAAGCAAGTACGTACTACATTGTTACCAGATTTCATCACCATCCACCTGCCAAAGGGAGAAGAAATTATTATTACCCCGTGTCACCATTATTGGCAACTGACAGAGGTTAGCAGCAGCACAGGTCGTAGGTTTCTTTTAAGGTTTCATCTGCTAGTGAGGACAAAGGAAACATTGATGCAGGATGGTAGTAGTTTCCTCTAGAAAATGAAGATTTTTGTTGTTAATTCATTAGAAATGTCCCTCAAGTCAAGTGGCATTGCTTGAAATGAATAGATGGGAAGAGTTTGTTAGCTTTGTAGACGGTCTTGTCTTTTGTTCAAAAATTTAAGTTCTTTGAGTAAGGTTTTGTTGGACAGTGAGAAGGATTCTCACCTCGCTATCGCAGTTGTTGTTCCCTAATATGTTAACTTGAAGAATTTTCCTTTTCATGTTATGTTCTTCTTATCCTGCTTTGGTCTACAATTAAGTTTCTTCTATTTGCCCCTCACTTGAGCCAATTGCAAGTCTCAGCAAGGGAGATTCCAACCCTATTCTTCATGCAGATAGTGATTCTGTGGTACATTTCTTGTTCATTTTCGAAGCCATCACTGCCTGCATTATAGTTTCAGCCAAAGTCCCGAAACAATTGTTATTCCTTGATTGTTCCAGGCTCGAGCTTTCTTTTCAGGCATCTGGAATGTAAACCAGTCTTGATTGCTGAGCGTTGAATCCAAAGGCTATGAAACCGAAAAAGGTTAAAGCCTTTCTCATTCGCTGCAGAAAACAGGCGAAATCCGCATGGGCCTTTGTGCTGACATTTTATATTTATCGGGATGAAAACATATGAAATCCGATGGGCTTAGCCTGTGGGCTTCCCCTGGCGACGTCCCAAATCCTACAACTAACTTTTGTAGACCAAAACAATCTATATTCAAACCATAAAAACGTTTATTTTTTTGTTATTTTTTTAAAAAAGCGAACCGGACACAAAGTTTTGTGCAAACTGTACGCAAAAAGGCAAAGACCTTACCGAAAAAGTATCCGGACTCTACGCCATTTATAAAATGCAATTGTCAGAAATTTCGAATCCGGATTTGTATGAGGTAAGTAAGCACAGCGTGCTGGAAAAGCGAAGCGAAAAGGAACACGCTCACTCAACTCACTCGACCATGCGCTAGCGAAAGAAATAAAGAAAAAAAGAACACACACACACAATAATATCTTACTAAAAGAAAAATATAGTCTATTCTCTGAGTTTTCTCTTCTCATCATGTCCGTTACTTGTTTTTACCAACTTAGTTTTCACGCCTCTAACTTCACTCCAATCGGTCACTTCTTTTCTTTCCTTTTCTTTTTCTGGTAGGGCTGAGTCAACTCGGTCAGAACTCACGTCCTATGGTTAGATAAACTCATTATTTTTTTTCTTTGAAATTTCATTTATTTCGCTTTCTGTCTAGTTAAAATGCAATTCATTTGATTAATTATAGAAATATCTGATGTTTTTATGTGTTCTTTTTTTCTTGTTTTATATATGGAAATATAACCAGTTAGTGAACAGGCATATTTTTCTTTAGGTTGTTAGAATTTGAGGATTAGGGTTTCAATTCGTAGAATATGGGAATTTTGGTGGGGGGAAGAAGCTGTTTTAGTTAAGTTTGATTAAAAGTGGCAATTTTAAAGTAATTGTTGGTTTTATTACGTATCACTTTGAAATATAATTTCTTTTTTTGGATTAGATTGTAATATTCTAGGCTTGTGTTAAAATTTGGACTATCTTGAGTGAATTTGGTAATTAATTTAAGAAACAAGGTTATTTGACTGTTGAGCAAGTAAAGTTTACATGACCTCATAAATGATATCCATAGGGGAACTCCAAAATTTGAATTTCTTTTGGTGTGTTTGCTTGTGTTCCCATGCATGAATGAAGTTTTGATTTGTAGCTCGCAAAGAAAATTGACATGTCTATTCATTTGGCCATTTTTTGGTTTTTTCCAGTTTGTTTTGAGCTGTGGGTCGTGGATTTTCCATGGAAACAGTGTGAAGTTGAGGGGAGTGATGAAGGGAAGTTTAAGAGACTGCTTGAGAAAAGTAACTTGGTTTTATCTTCACCAAAGCATGTTGCTGATCCGGTTGTTTACAAGCGTTCGGGTACCTTTTTTCAGCCAATGTTATTCTAACTATTTTATTCTACTGATATATTAAAACTTCTGCCTTTTCTCACCTTTTTTTGGTGTAAGAATGTTGACTTGGATTGCTTTAGTTGATATTGAGCTACATTAATGTAAAGGATTAATGTGGAAGTCATTGACAGTGTGTCATATAAAGATTTTAAAGTTTAAGTTTTGAATTTTCTATAATACCCATCTTTTATTATTGATATTTATGAAACACATGTTCGTGGGCAAGATTAACTGTTTTGTGAAAGACAAAATTGATGTTGTGATATCTACCATCGATTCATTTAGAAAACAATAATATGTAAATTAGTTGAATTGGAAGGTTAGAATCACCTGGAGTGGAGGTTGGTTTCTCTTGAAATGATTGATCATATCAAAAATATTATTTAGAAGTTAATACCATATTTATAATCAGCGTAGAAACTAGAAATGATAAGTTTGTAGAAGGTAATACCATTCTTTTTAATGTAATTTTCATTTTTTTTTTTTTGTAACCATTGTCAGGTTTGAGCTTTTGCTTAGTAAAACTTGTTAATGTCAAGGAACACTTGACCTGCGTTGATTAGCTTGAATCTCTTTTTTTGAAGTGCTTGGTTACCAAGTTTGTTTAATAGGAGTGATGCTTTTACATATCTGAATGAGGGGGATTATCTTTTTTAAAAAAATCTTTTAGCCTCTTCTGCTGATTTTGAAAATGTTATTCACACATAGTGGGCGTCACTCAACAAACACAGAAGTTCACTTGAGTTTTGCCAAAAGTATTGAAACTGCAAGCTTTTATTTGATCAACAAATATTGGTGATCAGTGATGATGATAAATCTAAAATTTTTGCCAAGTTTTTAGTTAAATGCCATGCTAAAAATGTGGACATGTAGCTTAAGGTTTGATTATTCTTATTTGCAATCTTAAATTGAAATTATGTCATGTAGGTTGAAGGGGATGGGAGATTAGTGCCTGCAACAGATGATGAACTGATGGAGGTTGAGGGTTTACTGGAAAATGAGAAGCGTGAAACCCATATTGTTGTGGACACTGGGCAGGCTTTAGGGAGCACTTTTAATGAAGTGTCGTCCTCTGGCATGCCTCAGTTAGAAAGCTCAGAAGGTGTGACTTTCTTAGCCCTACATCGTGAAAAATTTTAACACCTATTAAAATAGGATAAGAAAGTCTGTTCTTCTGATTGTGACTTGGATTTTATAATTCACTGAGCTTGTGATTAAGTGTCTTTTTATCTGCACTGATTGTCTGGGCTGATTTTTTTTCCATGCTTCTTGTGTATTTCTGTTCTATTTCATAGATTTTTCCATTTCATCAACTTTTAAATATGCATGTTACATCTTTCCTTATGCATAAGTAATTAAATTAAAAGATGCAAATGTCAAGTAGGTATGGTCTGTGTAATGAAGACCTGTACAAGAAACTCCAAGAGGTAAGCAAAGCCATGGAATGGGCTAAACCAAAAACAGAAAACAAGTAGATTCACAAAACAGTCATTTGAGCATAAAAATTTGAGCAATACATATTGGAAAAGGCTTACTTGAAATCTAGCTTTGTACTTGAAGATGCAGTGGATCTTTCTTTGAATTATTGATTTTATGTTGCTTCAGTCTGCCATGTTAGCTTTTATACTCATAGATGAACATTTATATATTTGTGTTATGATATTTTATATATTTTAATTTTCTGAATGATTAATATTTGCCAGGTTTGTCACAATCTGAGAACACAGAAGCTGATACCGAAAAATTAAGTGCACGCCTTGAGGTATCCCAATTTCAACTACACTTGATTCTTAACTTTCTTTAAATAGATTATGGATCTAATTGTTTGCCTGTAAAACATTTTAGGCTTAATCTTCTGATTTTTCTTTTGTAAGACATTTGTAAAGCTTTATTTTTGAGTTTGAGATGGGTGTTGATGTTGATATCTTACTCATGATTTGCTGCTTTGAGGCCTTAATTCTTAACTTTGTAACATACTCCTTTTAGTGGAACTATCTTCTTGGAATTCGCCAAATTTGTTCTGGTGAGGATGACTGTTTATGTTAAGTTACATCCATTGTAACATTCTTCCTTATTTTCTTTCTTCTTATCATGTCTATCAACCTATCCATTTTTTTGAAAAAATGAAGAAATCAAAACCTGCTTCTAGTTTTTTTCGCTGTTATATTTAAATCAAATAATCTGACGTAGGGGGATAAGATTTTCATATATCATTACTTCTTTTCAGAATTTTAAACGTGTAATGAATTAGCAGCTACATCTAGCTAATAGAAGGTTTAGCATGTATAAAACAATGTTATCCTTTTGTGTGTGTGTGGGGCGAGGGATTTCTTTTCTTCCCTAGTTTATATCTTTCATTTTTTTTTCCTACTTGTACATTTCAAGCACATGATTGATTTGTGAAGTTAATGTTTTAGTATTAATTGATCTATTATTATTTGGATCCTTCTTGGCCTTAATATCTCTATAGTACATCAAAGAAAATGCTAAGAGTCTCGCTTAGCATGTTGACTCCTATCATTTCTCTGCTTATATGAATGTAGACAGCCACTGTTCTGAACATGATAAATTGCTGGATTGATTGGAGCTCCAATCTCATTCTTTGCAGGAAACTGTCCCTACTAGGGCACAGTTGGCTGAATGATGATCAGTACTCATCTGGGGAATGTTGGGGAGTCTCAAAACCTTGATGGCCAATTGGAAGGTGGAGTCATAACTTCTGCAGGCTATATTAGTTCAAAACCTGATTTTCCAAGTTGAAGGGTGAATTATGCTGGATAATTTATCAATTAAAGAACTTCATGAAGTTTTCAAGGCACATTGGCGAGACATACTTCAAGACAAGCAGTGGCTTAAAAGAAGGATTCCATGGATTGACTAATTCTTGTGATGTTTCAACTACAACTTTGTGATTAAGACATAAATTGGTGAAAGGGTAAAGAAGATAGTTCCAACAATGTGAATCTGCCTACTTGGCAAAGAATACCCGCCGCCAGCGTTAAATCCACTGGACTTGCTGATAGCCTAGTAGTCAAATAGATGAACTTCAAACTACTTCTGGGACGGATTGGAATAATGGTGTGGAAAACAATTATGAAGTGAAATCTTGCTGCAGATCAGAGAGCTGCTAAGAGAGTTCGGAAGCCACAAGCGGTATATTGAAGAACTTTCTGAAGCAGATCCAAAAGTACAGTGGCAGGTTCATTACTTCTTACTAGAAACATTGGATTAGACACTTGACTTCAAAATCTCATGCTAGGCCCGCCAGAAAATTTGTCCTTGGAAGGGAGAACTGTTATCATGAGGTTGGATTCCCTTGGAGGATCTGGGATTCGGGTTCCGTGTGTTTGTCGGGTTCGAAGAAGCCGACCAAGGAAGAATGTCATGGCTCTTTTGGTATGTGAAAAGGATAAAACACTGCATATCTATGTCAGCAACATGAATTTGTTTTTTTTTTTTTTTTTTTTGACAATTGAGGTTACTAGGTGTTGAACCTTGATCAGTGGAACTAAGAAGTCTAATACTCTACAAACAAAATATATATCTGTTGGCAATCAACATGAATTTGGGCTTTGAATATTTAGGTCTTTTAATCTGATATTTGCTTTTGACAAGAACATTCAGATATTTCCTGCTAGCTCTCATAGTCTGTGCAAAAGCTCTCTAGTTGGTTTATGACTTTGTTCATCCATGTCCAATTCTGAGCTGACCATTTTAGTTGAATAGATAAACAATAACTTCTAAAATTCAGTAAGTCAAGTATCACCTGATAATTGAATGTTTTGTTACTTCTTGCTCTGAACCCATCTTTTATGGTAAATCTGTTTACTTATGCTTTATTGGGAATCTATGACCTGTGTTACTGGTATCATTTAGATAGTAGAGGTTATGGTTACTGATGCAACATGAACTGGCTTCTACAGAAATTCCATCCCAGTGGCAT